CCTGGACAGTTCTTTCTGGCGGACAGCACCGCTTTAACCCATGGGTCTCTGACCGCATTCTCTCCAACACTCACTACCTGTCTGTGCCTCTGCAACCCTGCTGTTCCCAGGTGCAGGCAACGTGTTCATCCCAGCCCTCAACTTCCATATTAACCTTCTTTCCATTTCTAGGCTGGGTGCTGCGGGTGCAAAGCACTATTGAGTTTTTAAGGCCCTGACTTCACCCTCCCTGCAGCCCTAGGGAAACAGGGGTCTGTATTACACGTGTGCGTGACACCTTCTTCATCAGCCTCCTGCCAACAACAGTGGGTTCAGAGGCCACCTCGAGGAGCCCTGGGCCGCTGGCACAGCAGCGAGCGTGTCTGCACCGCTCTCACCCGACAGCATGGCCTGGAAATGTACAGGTTCACCACAGGGTGTCCGACCACAAGCAACAAATTTTGTTTTCAACCGCCAGAGGCCTTGTGAGTATTAACGCATAGAGTGACTAATAAAACATAATTACTTGGGACCAGTAACTCTTGGCATGGCTCTCCCCGTAACGACACTTTTCACCACCCCTCCAGTCTGGAAAAAGGCCGGAAGTGGCCTTATGGCCTGGCGCCAAGTGAAGGTCGAGGGCAACGCTGGGTAGAGCCTGCTGGGCTCAGCCTGGGCCCCAGGCCATTTCCTGACAACCCCTCAGCTCTCGTGTACCTTTCCAGTCCGAAGGGCGGTGGGTGCCTTTGGGCCGTGGGGCCCACCGCCAACAACAAGGATTCCTGCCGAAGGAGACTCCAGGATCCCAGACAGGTGAGGCTAGTGTTCTGGTTTCTGCTTCTGGAAACTCTGTGCAGGTGTTAGCGTTTCTGCTCACACCTTCAAGGCCGCTTCTGCCTCAACTGCCCCAGGTGTTGTGCTAGCTGAACAGTGCTACCCCTACATTGTTTTCTCTGTCCTGTTATACATCCCCAGCTTTCCCTACTCCCATCAGAATCAATACGACTATCAGGGGTTTCTGCTGGTTTGGTTTTTTCCCTCCTGAGTTGCCTGAGGTCGACCAGCACTGACTGCCCCTCACCCTGCTGTTCCAAACACATGGGGACGTGGAGCAGCCCAGGGGATGGGCAGTGACGCCCGGGGAAGCGTGTGAGGCATCAGACGGGCGGGCGATTGACTGGGGTGATCACTAGCAGGCTATGTGACGTCTGGTCACTGAGGTGTGCACCTGAGACCAACGTAAATGCTCTAGGTCACAGTAACTGAAATATAAACAAAAGTTATTTTAAAAATATAGACGCGTTCTTCACTTGTCCTAGAGGTGGTTCTGGCTTCACCATGAGACTGGAAACGTGTGTGTAAAGGAAAGCCCGAGCTCCCTGTGAAGCCCGTACACAGTCAAGCACACAGACCACCTGCTCTCTGTTTCCAGTCCTCCCAGCATCTCGAAGGAGGGCCTTGTGAATCCTTCCGAACCCGCCGCGCCCCTCCGTCTCCGAGAAGCCCCGCCATGTTTCTAGAGGGGCCTTCCCTCGCCCAGCACCCACTTTCTGCTTCCAGCCGGGCCCTTCCAGCGGCCCAGCGCTCGTCCCCGCCTGCCGTCAGCCCCGGCAGATGTGTGGCTTGTCTGCCTTCCCTGAGATAGACTTTAACCTTACTATTACTCAAATACAACAACCATTTTTCCATCGGCCAGTTAAAAAGAAAGAAACCCGTGTCTGAAGCGGACATGGGGACGCAGGGATCCTCACACAATCAGTACAGCCACAGGGAGGGCACCCAGGAGAACGCCCGTAGCCCACAGTCTACTGATTCTGACCAGAAGCAGAGAGGCAGGCACGGTTCCGTTCCCCGGCTGGGGCTAAATCAGCTCCTGCAAGTCCTACGCAGCCCTGGAGGAAAACTCTAGACCTTCCCACGAGTCACAGGCAAGACAAACAGAACTTAACATTGTTAATATCGTCCAACAGAGCAGAACTTTGATGTGTCAACACGGCAAACTCCTGTCTTTCTCTTTTCTTAAGCTTACCAAAGACCCTCTGGAAAAAGAGTGTGGACGGGAAAAGAGATTAAAGACGGGGGTACTCATCCTGTCATTTACCACTCCTGATGTTGTAAGATATTTTTTTAGGCTTTGATACTCCTTGGAAATACAGTCCATGTGAATTGTTTTCCACTCACCCCAAAGCTGGGTTTCTGCGCCTGGAGAATGACTCAGAGGCAGTGCTGCTGACTTTTTCACTGCGGCACACGAATAAAACCACGCTATTTGTGGAACACAGGGGCTTCGGAGGCTGGTTGAGGAGATCACAATGGCAACCAGCTGGAAGCCTTCGCCCAGGTGACATTCCGGGCTTGTCCTGCTCCCTCTAGTGGTCAGTCACTGCGGTCCTCTTCTTTCCGTCGGGAAGGAGATGCAGGGTCAGCCTCACCCACAGCACAAACTTCCCAAGCACGTGTCCAGACAGACAGAACTAATCCTGTGCAGCGTGCTGTTAGGAAAACACTTTCAACGGCCTATAGCAGGGATTTCCAACCTTTTTCATCTCATGGCACACATAAACGAATTACTAATATTCTGCGGCACACCAAAAAATATTTTTGCCAATCTGTCAAAAATTAGGTATAATTTTGACTCATTCACATGGGACAGCTATATTGTGACATATTATTGTGTCATTATTATAAAATGACAGCTGTTGTCATTTTTTAAAAAATCAATATCTAAGGCATATTGCATGTTTTAAAAACTCTTGTGGCATACCGGTTGAAAATCGTTGGTCTGTAGGTATGTAGGTGTGCTTAGATAAGGAATACCATCTTGCTACATTCAAACCCCTCTGAAACCAGAGCCTGCAATTAGAATCTACAACTCTAACTGTAGGGCAAGGAAACAGAACTGACATCCTTAGAACCAGCTCCATCGGGATGGACTTCACCTGCCCTCGTTTACCAGCTGTGAGTTGCTGAGTCGGGCGTATGTGTTGATTGAATCATCCACTCTTCTCTCTTCACTTGCTCAAAAACACCTATCTTTATTAAAATGCGAAGTGGCTAATGCTCACCCTAACCTTAGCTTCCTTACCTTGAGTCCATAAACAGGTGAAGTTTGGGTGTGATCATCAGGGTGTGATTAGAAATCTTACGTGCACAATGTGGTTACCTTGGTATCTGCTAACATTGATCAGGGCCAAAAAAATGGGCAGCAAGAAGCACACACATCAGGATGCCGGCTGCCCCTCTTTCAGTGCAGATGAGTGCGAAGGCACGGGCTTTTTATGCGTGACTGCTCAGACCTGTTCCCAGATTTTTGTCTACCCGAGAGAGAACTCGGTGACACCTGCCCTGCATTTAGAAGCTGCTCGTGTTCTGTTCACGTGGCCCGGTGGGGAAGCACAAGCGGCCCAAGTTTATTCTCTTTCTGAGCCTCATTCCGTATTGTTTTCTTATTTTAAAAAATAACACCACCACACACAAAAGTGACCAGTCACTGCCTTTCACTTCTTTCCTTGGTCAGGTAAGAGGAGCTCCGGGAATGCAGAAGATACTGTGTTCTGCCTCACCTACATTCATCCAAATTGGAAGGTATTCCCTCCCAAAATTAAGCTTAATTGTTTGGGAAATGTTAAAAGCTGAAGTGTTAGAGGAAGTGCAATTCTAAATGGATAGAAATGTACTGGATCAACTGCATACAGAAACCATTGCAGGAGCTTGTCTCTCCCACTGGTCTTATGTATAATCAAGCAAACACCTTGAGGTATAAATGAATTTATAAAATGATGCCACAAAAAAACTGCTCCTCTAAACCTTTCATTTTTCTCAGCTGAAATTGTTTCATCTCCCTCATGTTACATTTTGTCATTAAATTCTATTTTCCACAACCCTTTCATTGAATTAATTTCGGCATTTCCATTTTTAACTTCAGAAAACTTACTCTTTAAGCATTCCTACATGGCGTTCTTCTCTGTCCGTGTACACTATTTTCTCACCTGGGGATAGTAATTACATTTTATTCTCCACTTCCTGCGTTAGTTCCGTCCCCTTTGAGTGCCCCTCCCCCACGCGCCGATATGAATCCGAGACTCCAGAGGCTTCCACTGGTCCAGGCGGCTTTGCTCTCCCCTCCCCAGAGTGCTCCCCATCTCGAGCCTTGTGTACTCGGCACCTGCGTCCGGGGAGACCCAGCCAGCATGGTAGCATGTGTGAGAGAATCTACTGGAAGGGTAGTTACCTTAGAGAATCAGATGAAGAATTCACTTGTGCCCTTCCTTCTTGTGAAAATAGCTAAAAAGTATATTGCTAAATGAAAAGAAAGATGGAATGATAGGATTTTGTGCAAATAAAAACTCAAGCACTTAGAAGTGGAATTTATTATAGAATCAGGGTCACCTTATAGGAAGACTCTTAAGGATAAAAATGCTGCTTAGAAAGGCTGGGAAGAGAAAACTAGAAAATCTCCAGGAACCCAAGGAGTGCTCTTGCCATTTCTCAACTCTACTTAATACACAAGCTTTAGTTTTCTTTCTCAGCAGAATGGGTAAACTGCTAGCTGGCCCCCAGGGAGAGCAGAAAATGATGTTCCAGCCCCCGACACAGGCCCTCTTGGTTTTAAAACTCCCTGGGGAGAAGCGGGGGAACCTGTTGGGCTCAGACTGGTTCAGGAGCAGGCTCCTGTGACCAGCAGAAAGGACCTCATTATAGAAAGTGGCTCTCGGGACCCCATTCACGGCTGAGGTGAGGGTGACAGGTAAGGAAGTGACTGTCAGTTTTTAAAGTGACACCCAAAAGATGTTTTCTACAGGGGCTTTTAATAGGCTAAAGGCCCGGAAATCTCCTTTTGCTTTCTGAAGTAAACAGGCGTACATTCTGATGCTGTTACTCTGAACTGGGGTGAGTGGGGTGTGTCCCTCTGAAGGAACCCCCTACGTCAGAGCAGTCTGCTGGTGATCTGGAACGGGCTGTCTAATCTCACCTGTAAGATAGAAACTATAATAGTTACAAAAGCACATGAAATAATTCACTTCAATTATAAAATTTATTTACACTATATATACACAAACACATACAGAGGGACAACACATTTAATTATCACATACAAATTCTGCTTCTCAATTACAAAGTTATATATACACTAAACAGTGGTAAGAATCTCTAAAAAGCCCCCATTGTATTTTTTTTATCTGTCTCATACTTATTTCCCTCCCACAACTGGACTAGGTCTTATAATCCATAAGCACATTTGTAGCATTTACCTTCCCCTAAAAGAAACTCTAAAATGCTATTATTAAACCAATAGTATATCTAACAAGTACTCTTATCTTACGTCCAAGAACATAAAATATTTGTGATAAGAAAAAGGTTTTTTACCTATTTTCTTTTAGTTTATCAACAATACTTAATTCCATTTTTATTGGGTTGGCCAAAAAATGCATTTAGGTTTTTCCCATAAGATGGCTCTACTAGTGCTTAGTTGTCTTTAACTTCATGCAAAACAATTTTGTTAGATCGTATTGTGACAGCTGTCGTAACAGCATGCTTTTTTAAAAAAAATTGAAATTGGTGTATTTTTGCATAGCCATTCTAATACTAAAGATGGAATAAAATATGCAACATTTTCAGCACATTATGCTTTATTATTTCAAGAAAGGTAAAAACGCAACTGAAATGCAAAAAGACTTGTGCAGTGTATGGAGAAGGTGCTGTGACTGATTGAACATGTCAAAAGTGGTCTGTGAAGTTTCTTGGTACTGTTGACACTGTGGCCAGATGATTCTTTGCTGTGGGGCTGCCCTATGCATTGGGAGATGTTTAGCAGCCCCCCTGGCCTCTAGCTGCTAGAAGCCTAGAAACAGGAACTGACATACTCAAAATATCCACACCACTAAAGTTATTGGTAAAAATGAAAAATGTGTCCTTTATGGAAAAGACTAAATGGACTTTTTGACCAACCCGATACAACTTTCAGTCTTCTTACATTCCTAGTGATCTTGGAATGGAAACCAGGTCATTTTATTGCACATGGATCCCTCTTCTCTTTTTTCATCGAAAGCCCTGGTCAAACACCAACAATGCATTTTTTAACTTGCCTTGGGGCACACTGTTCTGAATTCATCCCAGCCTCCAAGGTCTCCGTCTATGCAGCTAAAATACATACAGATGGAAAGTAAAAACTCAATTATTTGCCTTCCTACCACATAACCATTTAAAATAATTGTTAGAGCTCAACTGCACTAAACAATGCCAAAGGAAAATGACAGAACACTACACAAATTCTCGTAGGAATGATGATTTCTGCATATCTACCAAAAGATCATTATCACGTATTAAATATGAAATACACAGTTCTACAATCATCATTTCCATCTTGAGGTGAATGATAAGCCTGGAGACAGAAAACGCTGCCGCAGGCACGGCCAGCTGCCCGAGGCTCCCCCTCGGCGGGCGCCTCATATGCAACAATAGGTATACAGCAGCTTCTGCGCCATCCTGACATTCCCGCTGTTCTGGTAAATGAGAGACAAGTTGTAGGCGATGTCTCTCCGTAAGTCCACCTGGTCGGCTTCTATGCCCTGGGGGGAGAAATGCCTGAATGAGTTACACTTCGGACTGACAACCAGGACAATTTTATGGTGAATAAACAGTTTTGGTAAGTGTTCAAAAAGCCATTAAAATTCACAACACTAAAAAAGTTATAAAGTTATGTACCTTCCTTAGATTTAAATTTTTATCAGATAATGCTGATTCAGTTGACCATTATAGTAACTCTTTCATCAAATATTTTTAAATGTCCAACCTGTAAACTGAAGAAAAAGCCTCACGCACAAACCACAGCACAATAAACTCCGCATGAATTAAGGATTTAAGAGTAAAACAATGAAACCATAAAAGAAACAAATAGAATAAACAATATGATAATATAATGTTGGATGGGAAAGGCCCTTCCAAGAATAATAGCAAAAGGAGAAACTATAAAGGGAAAGATTAATAGACATGACTTCATAAAAAACATAAAATTGCGACAAGGACAAAAGTAAATTGTAACACCAATGACCAGATGCAGGGACAAATACCTGTCCTGAGCAACAGGAAGGCACATAAAGAACAGGGCTGTCTAGGAGGATACACACCGAACTAGTCATAATGGTTACCACAGGGGTGTTACTGCCTTTTTTTTTTTACTTAAATAACAAAAAAATGAACTCGACAGAGTAGATTAGATCTGTTTCTAATCCTCCCCACTGAAAAACATCCACAACAAAGAAAAACGATATTTATAAAGCTTAAGAAGCAATATGTAAAGGTATGTGATAAAGACCACCAAAGTGTATATATTTCATTAGCATAACTATAAATGTATGTATTCATTTGCTTAACAACTAAAGGTGAACAAGTGTAATAGCAAACAGGTGAAAAATGGGGATTATGAGGGTAAGTTTAAAAAATTAATAAAAACATATAATTTTCTTTAGAAATTAAAAATTAGACTTTAAACACAGACTATTATAGTATATGCAACAGTTTACCCTATCCTACATCATCTTAAAAAATGGTCTTTCATCTTTAGAAAGAAATGTTAGTTACATTTGAACTTGAAAATGAACAAGGACTATATTACTCAATATTCAGGCTTCATGTCTACCTGGAAACCACATGGGCTTCCTTAAAGGATAATTAAAAGGGTCACAATCATAAGTGATATGTCCGTACCACTGCTGATCAGGAAGAAAGCCAGGGTGTCAAAGACTGACTCGTTGCTGAACAGAATTACATATTTCATTGTCTGGACCACACCACAACACTGGGCTATCATGTAAATTCTAAATCATGCAATACCTCAACCACCAGTGGAGGGAGCTCCAGGGCCTTCTGATAATAATGGATGGCAAGATGAATCAGCCCCAGCTGGTGATGGCCCCGACCCAAATTGTAGAATGATTCCTGGCAGGGCCCACGCAGACTGAGGTATCGATTAAGAAAGGAGAAGCCCTTCCAAAAAGAAAAAGACAAATGATTTAGTAGTTCACTCATTTCACAAGTATGCACCACTGTATGTGCCGGGTGTGGGAACACAAACATTAAAACAGACACACGGTCCCCCCCTGAAAAGAACACATGTGTAGTGTGCTGTCACACTGCAGTGCAGGCAGGAGCTCGTCTGAAGGTGTAAAGGGTCACTTTTTTAAGCTAAAGACAGGAAACATCCATAGAAACGTTACAATACCTGTCAAAGATCCACAGTCTATAAAAACACCACACACACACACACACACACACACACACACCTTCCGATTGGCTTTTGTAGCATTAGAGCCAATAAACTCTTGAACTTTTTGGTTTGAAATACACGTCTGAAAGTTTGAGCAAAACAGAAAATCTGAGCCCTCATAATGATGATCCTTTAGAAAGGTTATCTTCGGAAGCAAGCTCACTTGAGCACACCCAACCTTTCTCAGTAAGTGGTGCCTTTTATAAGTTACTTCTCGGGACTTAACCTTTTCTCATTAAAAAAAAATTATTGTATTTTTTTCATGACCACTTGTCCCCCTTTCACCCCCAGCTGCAGCCACCACACTGTCGTCCATGTAGGACCTTCCTTAATAACCTCTTAACCCCAAACTTGTCTCCCTGTCCCGAAAGCTTCTGACTCAAAGGCTAAAATAAATAAAGCCTTTGGAGGGAGACACGGACAGTCTCAGAGAGCGGCTGTGGCTGCAGGAACACGGCCCCTGTGGGTCACGGCTCTTCACATTGGCCTTCTCCTCTCACGCAGCTGCAACTTCTGTCACCGACAGACAGTTACAGACCATGAAAGTGCAAGTGTCCTATGAAGTAAGTGCCCGCATTTTGCTGTGGATAATGCACACTTTTTGAGGGGAAAATAGGGATGCACATCATACATGGGTAGTACCTGAAATACCTTGTATCTGGTCTGTTTTGTAATTATTTGTCACACAAAATTTCTTGTACCATAATATGTTCAAAATAAATGCTAAAATTTATTTATAATATTTAAAAAACAAGTATCTAAGTATAAATAAATAATTGAATTAAAATATCAAAACAGAAAATTTTTTCCTGAAAGTTTGGACCAAAAACATGGGTGTGCATTAGACACAGGAAAATACAGTAAATAAATATATCATTGAGAATTAAGAGTAAATCAACTAATTTGTGGGAATATAATTTAAAATGCAATTATTCCCTGGGTGATCTGCTATATAATAAATGATCACAAATGTTCCTTCGTAAGTAAATAAATAATAAAAATTCATAAATTCTTTAGAATTCATGCATTTTAGCAACAAAAAGTTATGTTCAATAAACAAATCATACTTCTACATAATGAAAGAACCCATTTGAGTATGTAAATTTGACCTCTACTCCACTGAAAAGCATGATTCTCTGTTAAGCACAAAAGATAAACTATTGATCTCAGAGAAATATCAGATCTTCACACTTTAAAATGACAAACTGAAAGCTGAAATTTGAGAAAGAAGCAACAGTAATACCACAGGAATCACTGCAACCCAAATGAACTTGAAGGTCTTCTGATACAATAAAAAAGTTACCAGCTGCATTTTAAGAAATTTTTTAAAAGTTTAGGAGGATAATCTTGACAATTGAAAACCTAATAAAATATTTTGTGATTAAAAATGTAGGTAACACATTATTTCTTAGACTATAAATCATCAAATGTAAAAACTACCAAAAAATGACAAAAACATTGAAATGGAAAAGAGAAATGGGTTCTTTTTACATCATATTATATTTCAAACATTTTTATCACATCAGTCACTAAAGAGCCCAGGTATATATTGTCTATATAATATTAAATAAAGGTAGAAGTAAGAAAACATGAAAAATTCTACTCTTACAGCATTCGTAAAAAGGTAGAAAAGATAAATAAAATATATGAAATTAGCTTTTTTTAGTAGGACAAATGAAAACTATGGTCCTATAGCATGAAGACACAAATTCATGCGAAATTAAAACAACTTAAGAACTGTGCTATTTACAATAAAACTTGCTCTTAAATTTTTTTCAATGGAAACTGTTTAACCTACATGAGAGATTAGTACAACAAAACCCCATCTACCCATTACTCTCATTACACTTCTCTTCAACTGCTTGAAACCTACAACTAAACTATAAAAGTGATTTGTACTTTCTTAATGTCATTGATAGGTTGCAACTTTAAGCAAAATGACATATAATGAAACCAGTTTCACACCGGTTTTACCTGATCTAAACTCGAGTAAGTTCCTACAGCACCTCATTATCACTGTGATGACAGGATGTTGGATGCAACAGTATTCAGGGCCTGAATTTTTATCCTACCAGGCTGAAAACTACGTAATTTAACTATTTAATAATGAGTTAATCCATACAGATTTCCATTCAATTTTTACCTATCAACTTTATAAGCTTCACGAGGGCAAGGAACTGTGCCTCTGTGCTCACGCACTCTCTCTCCCCTGTCCTGGCATAACGGGTGTTCACTAAATATCTGTTTAATGTATAAACAACCCTATGTTACTTAATACAACAAAACCATCCACTGAGATGATTATGGACATTTTCAAGTATATAAAAGTAAAAACATTATAATGAACACCAATACCCAGTTTTAACAATCATCATCATTTTAATTTAGGCTTTTTTTAGCCATTTTATTTTTAAAAACAAACAAAAATCCTTTACTAAATCCTGCTACTAAATCCTGCTACCCAACCTAGCCAACACTTTCTTTCCTCTGCTAACTACTTAAAAACTTGTCTATACATGTATCAAATGTATACATATAAAAAGTACAATCATAAAAACAAAAAGGCTGAAAATATAGTGGTGAGCAAGACAGACAAGACCTCTGATCTTGGATTGTATATTCTTTTCTGTTTTTTATGTTAATTTATTTATCTATTTTTAGAGAGAGGGAAAGAAACATCAATGTGTAGTTGCTTTTCACAGGCCCCCTACTGGGGACCTGGCCCACAACCCAGGCATGTGCCCTGACTAGGAATCCAACCTGAGACGGTTTGATTGCAGGCTGGTGTTCAATCCACTGAACTACACCAGCCAGGGCTTGGATTGTATATTCTTATTAGAGAAGACAAAGTACAAAAAGATAAATATGAGAATGAGAAGGTAATTCCAAACTGCTGTAAGAAGTAAGAAAACTTTAGAACAATTTGTTGGTGATGACATAAAGAAACAGTAATGCAGTCATCATATTTGTATATTACTGTATACATGTTATACTTTTAAAAACTAATTTACAGTGTACCAGGCTTTAGGACCTAGAAGGCTGGGGGCATTAGGGGTTAAGTATGAGGAGGTCTGCACAGGCTTCCCCCAGATTCCACCTGTATCTTCTCGCCACAGGACCTAGCGGTGGGCCCTTTTCTACATGAGGCTGCGTAAGTCTGAGGCAGGAGTACCTGCAGGAGCCGAGTCCGTGAGCGCTGAACAGAGGGGCAGGTGTTGCAGACACCAACACACGTACTAAGCAAGTACTACTGTTGAAGCACAATAGCAAACATTACGTATATATATTCCTTTTTAAAGAACATATAATCAAGTGAAGAGAAATCCAAATTAATTACCTGCACGACAAGAGCATGTCTCCTTAACACATACTTCTGAGATGCCATGTGAATAAAGGTTAGGCCTATACACAGGCTATAGAGAGGCTGGTGGGGGTGGGTGCGGAAGGCTTGCACATACTGGCCTGAAAAATGAACAGTGATACAGATGATGTGGCAAGAACGTAGTTCCTCCCACACTTATTCTAATACATTTTAGGACTAAACAAACATTACTGATAGTTAACATATCCAAGTGTACATTCTAAAATATCAACCAGATGCAAATTTCAATTATAAAATAGTATATAACATATAACAAAATTAGAAGGATTTACTCATCAATGTATACAGACCACAAAGATTAAACATAAGTAACTAAAAGTAGTATTCTTTTTTTAAAAAGATTTTTAAATTTATTTTTAGAGAGAGGGGAAGGGAGAAAGAAAGGGAAAAAACATCAATGTGTGGTTGCCTCTTGCATGCTCCCCACTGGGGACCTAGCCCACAACGCAGGCATGTGCCCTGACTGGGAATTGAACCAGCGATCCTTTGGTTCACAGGCTGGCACTCAATCCACTGAGCCATGCCAGCCGGGGCTAAAAGTTACATTCTTTTAGGCACAACTAGACACTTTCGTGTAGAGTAATACTTCCAAAATAAGCAATTTATCAATTTTGATCATAAATCTATCTTATGACCTTAAAGCCATTCTAAAAGCAATGAAGGAATATGTCTTTTGATTAATTCTTTTGTAAAATTAATTGATCTGTCTTATAAAGTCAAATGTAATGGATCACGGAGGTGAAAAAATAGTGTTGTTTTGTGTTTAGATAATGGGTGTTGTTTTTCTAAATATAACAACGACTTTGTTTTTCCTCAGAAAAGCTAAATGTAATGAATAATAAAATAAGATTTTTGGTTTTTGTGAATTCCATGTATTATACATATATGATCATGTCATGTCAAAGCTTACCGATATGAAATGAGGAAATTTAAGCAAATTATTCATAGAAAAGGATGACCTATAACTTATCTCATATGTATATTATATTTTATGTATAAAAATTTCTATTCCTTCCAGCTTCTATTCCGAGAAGAATGACACCACAAAATCTCTTTGGCAGTACTGATTGGTAGACTGCCATTTGAACATTCTATTTTTACCTTCTGTAAGTTTCTAAATACAGAAAATAAAATTAATCCCTATTTTCCTAATATTAAACTAACAATTCGAAACAGCACACAGAGTGGAGGAGATTGTAGACATCTGATGTTCAAGGTTACTGACTGAATAATTTATAAAAGCACCAGCCACACACAAAAAAACACATTAAAATCACCAAACCAGTTTATTCAGAAGCACACTTGGCAATACTGGCTTTTAGGCAGCAGGAGATACATGCCTCATTTTAGTTTTAAACCTATGGTTAGGTGTTTTTCTACTTGTCTTCTTCTGATCCCTGGATTTAATTAGAATTAGTAAGCACTATGTAAATAACTCTTGATATAAAGACTTTTCCCCAAAGTAATAAACTATCAGCAAATTTTAAATCCTTTTTTGTACTACAGTAAATTAAAATTGGGTAGCAAAACATCCATAATTAATGAAAATTGTTTTAAAAACTAGTAAGCCTAAGTAAGGAGAATGGTTTACCTTTAAACTAAATTTAAATTTTAAGCCCTGGCTTGTGTAGCTCAGTGGATTGAGCACAGGCCTGTGAAGCAAAGGGTTGCTGGTTCGATTCCCAGGCAGGGTACATACCTGGGTTGCAGGCCAGGTCCCCAGTAGGGGACACATGAGAGGCAACTACACATTGATGTTTCTCTCTCCCACTCTTTCTCCTTCCCATCCCCTCTCTCTAAAATAAAATAACAAAAGAAAATATTTTTAAAAATTTAAATTTTAAAATAAAATAAAACAAAATAAATATTTTTTAATTAAAAAATAAAATGTAATTAATTAAAAAAATTTTTTAAGTTGGTTTTTAGGCTCTGGCCAAAATGGAGGTGTTGGTAGAAACACTTCATTTCCTCACACAACCAAAAGGATAACAACCAATTTAAAAACAATAAACAACCAGAACTCCCAGAATACGAATCTGCATGAAACACCAACAACCAAGGAGTTAAAGAAACATTCATCCAGACTGGTGTGCCATGACAAAGAAATATGGCCCAAATGAATCAACAGAGCAGAAGTCTAGAAAAAGGGCTAAGTGACGAGGAGATAGACAACCTGCCTGATGGAGAGTTTAAAGTCCTGGTAATCAGGATACCCACAGAATTGACTGAGCCTGGTCATAAAATGAAGGATACAAAAAGTGAAGTAAAGCAAAACATATAGGGAACCCACAATGAAGGAAAAGAAACTGGAGCTCAAAGCAACAACTTTGAACAAAAGGAAGAAATAAACATCCAATAAGAACAGAATGAAGAAACAAGAACTCAAAAAAATGAGGTGAAGCTTAGGAAGCTCTGGAACAACTTTAAACATTCCAACACCCAAATCACAGGGCTGCCAGAAGGAGAAGAGGAAGAGCAAGAAACTGAAAACTTATTTGAACAAATAACGAAGGATAACTCCCCCAATCTGGCAAAGGAAATAAGACTTCCAGGAAGTCCAGGAAGCTCAGAGAGTGCCAAAGAAATTAGACCCAAGGAGGAACACACCAAGGCATATCATAATTAAGTTACCCAAGATTAAAGATAAGGAAAGAATCTTAAAAGTAACAAGAGAAAAGGACAGTTACCTACAAAGGAGTTCCCATAAGACTATTAGCTGATTTTTCAAAACAAACCTTACAGGCCAGAAGGGGCTGGAAAGAAGTATTCCAAGTCATGAAAGGCAAGGACCTATATGCAAGATTGCTCTATCCAGCAAAGCTTTCATTTAGAATGGAAGTGCAGATAAAGTGCTTCCCAGATAAGGTCAAGTTAAAGGAGTTCATGACCAAGCCCTTATTATATGAAATGTTAAAAGGACTTACCTAAGAAATAGAAGAAGATAAAAAACTATGAACAATAAAATGACAACAAACTCATAACTATCAACAACTGAGCCTAAAAAACAAAAACTAAGCAAACAACTAGAAAAGGAAGAGAATAACAGAAATGGAGATCGCATGGAGGATTATCAATGGGAAAAGGGAGGAGGGGGTTGGGGGGAGAGTACAGGGAATAAGAAGCATAAATGGTAGGTACAAAATAGACAGGGGGAGGTTAAGAATATGTATAGGAAATAGAGAAACCAGTGAACTTATATGTACGACCCATGGACATAAACTAAGGTAGGAGGAATGCTGGAAGGTAGAGGGAGGTACAGGGAGCAAGGGAGGGGTTTAAGGGGAGCAAAAATTGAGACAACTGTAATGGCATAATTAATAAGCTATACTTTAAAAATTTTTTATTTTTAAAAGAGAAAATAAAATAAATTCTGAAATAATTTTATTTATTTATCTTTAGAGGGGAGGTGAAGGGAAGGAAGGAGGGAGAGAAATATCAATGTATGGTTGCCTCTCGTACATCCCCTGCTGGGAACTGGCCTGCAACCCAGGCATGTGCCCTGACTGGGAATCGAACCATGGCCATTTGGTTCACGGGCCCACACTCAATCCACTGAGCTACACCAGTCAGGGCGAAATAAAATAATTTTTAAAAATAAAAAGACTTCAGCCTTTAGAAACCAAAGCTTCAAAAGAGAAAGAAATATCATTATTGCTAACACTTACAGCCACTTACTATATTGCCAGGCACTGTTTTAAGTACTTTACACTAACTCATTTAATCTTCACAGCCATCTACAAGGCAGGCCCAGTTACCACCTGCAGCTCAGAGACACAGAACCAGAGGCAGGGGCAGGAGAGTCCGCAGCGCTGCAGTAGCTGTGTGAAGCCAGGCACTGCTATTCCAAAGGCCAGGCTCTTAGCCACCCACTGTCCACACCTGACCAAGTCATGGGCCAGGGCACTTACCAAGGGCGTGCTTAAAACTACCAGATACGAATGCGTTGTGTCCATTTAAGACACACAGGGCATGATTATCTGGGTTTTTCAGCATTAAACGGAGACAGAAACGATGATGCCGTACTTCCTGAGAGTGCATGGTAACTTGATTGAAAATGTTCCAGAGCTGGGGTCTATTGACATTTTCCATTACCATTATCCTAAAGTTGAAGGAAGAAGGGGAGAGTAAAAAACAGTTTGAAAAGAAACCTTCCTGATCTCTAAGAATTAAACTGCTCAGTACTGTCCCAACACTGGAATGCACCGTTCTCCCAAAGGGCAGACTGCTGCAATCTATTTAAGCAAAACCTTTTACACACTGAGGGATTTCCCAAAAAACACTGTTTCAGTTATTATTTCTATATCTTGTTTCTGCATTTTAACAAAATTTTTAAACCAAAAAACAGAACCGAGTTAAGTTTCATTTTCACCTCCCTTCCCACTACGACTGCAATACAATAAACACTGAGTAATAATAATGTGTGCCAGGCACTATTAAAGAACTCATCATTTAATTTTCACAATAATCCTATGAACTGGTAGTATTATGATGTCCATTTTATAAATGGGGAGACTAAAGTACAAGAGGTTAAATATATGAGTGCCCTGAGATATATGAGATAAATATATTCTCATATATTGCCTCTGAGATGCCCCAATGAATTGAATTAACCAGTAAACAACAGGAGAGATAAAACAAAACAGCTTATTAATTCTTGAGCTTGTGAGTCAAAGTAAATATACATACTCTATCAAAGAACTGAATTTTTAAAAAGTTACTGGAAAGTCACCTGATATAGTTGTATGCCTTTCTGAAATTTTTGTCCAGAATTGCAGCGGAGAGACCAAAATATTCTAGTTCTTTACGTTTTTGTTTGTGTTCATAAAACGAACAGTACTCCAATGCGGAATCCACTAGTAACTCAGCCTCCTGAAATCGGGACAGGTCACATAAGGAGTATATGGCCTTCAGCAGGAGGTTCCACCAGTCATCTTTCGTCAGGACACTCGTGAGTACAGCAAATATTGCTAAAATGAGACCAATAAAAATCAGTTAGGATACTGTTTTCCAGAGATAGTGCTATTAGAAAAAGATTTCATGACTGACTTTAGGTTAAATTTAATAACCGCGGTCCGACGGGCCTGAACTCTGGCCGACAACTCTTCTCACCACAATGCACAGGGGCGGCTGCCTGTTTGCACGGATTCAGCAGCACCCCTCCCACCCTCTGCATTCTCGGGTAACTCTCACTCCTGCTTCGCTCTCTACAAAGTCCAGCGGCCTCATCTGTGCCTCTCTGGGCTAGAAAGAACGTGCAGTCCTCTGTGCAGAATGAGTGTGTCTTCCAGGACTGAGGGGTACGGGTGTCTGCACGTACAAAACATTTGGATGTCAGCTCAGCAAAGGACTTCAAATTCCTACTTGGAGATGCAGCTTGTTCTTCACCTTTTCATAGTCTCAATTTTCTTGTCTTTGCCTCAAAATTTCTCTTTTCCTTCAGCCATCTTCACTCCCTTGTTTTTCTATAAGATGCCTCCCTTTTATACCCTTAGGGAGTATCAAAAGGCAGAAAATTTTTCTAGTCTTTGACCTAGTAATTCTCCTTCTGGGAATCTATCCCAAACAACTAGATTTAAAAAAGGGATAAATCTATAGGTATGAAGATGCCCACTACAGTATTACTTATAAACAAAATTATCAGAGGGAATCATACGTCAAAAAATGAGGGAATGGGTAAATAAATTATGGTACTGCTATCCAATGGAACATTACATATTTTTTAAATATAATACCTACAAAGAGAATAGAGCAACATTAGAAAATGTCTATGAGAAAATGGTAAGTGAAAAAATCAGAGAACAAAGATGTATGTAACATAAAGAAGCCTAGATTGATCATCCTATCTGGGTACACCCATGTAATGTGATCCCTGGAATAATAAAATCAACAAAACAAAACAACAAAAACCTTATGAGTCTAAAAAAAATCAAGAATGAACCTGAAATGAGGAAACACAGAGAGAAAACAGGCAGGACCAGACGTAGACAGCACTATGACTCAAGGAAACACGGCCCAGGCACGTGCTGCAGAGGCCAAGGCCGAGGCCAGGCTGCTAGGATGAGCTCGGCGCCCATGAGCTGGAGGGAGACAAGACTCAGCAAGGTCATGAGCAGGTGAGCCCTTGTTCGGTCCTCTGACTCCCTTCCCATGCAGCGCCTTCTTTATTTGATATCATCTTGTCCTGTTAATAGATGCAGATCTTCCGCATTATAAAACCCCTGTCCACTGCACACTGCCATGCCGATAACAATGAGTTAATAAGTGTCTAGTGAGTTAATTAAGAATGAAATCCTTTTCTGCCAGAAATGTCCAGTTTATAAGGTCTTTTCCAAAGTTCTCTAAGTAATAACCTCACCTAAGCTGATGTTTTTCCAGCTAAAAATAGATGCCTTTTAAAGTTGTATCATTTGAGACTGGGTCAAAGCAATTTCTTTTCAGTTTCTATGACTATTGCTACATTCGGCAAAAACTAACTTAACACAGAATGGAGTACAGGTATTGAAGTGACTGGACAAATAACAGTGATTGGTACTGTCATCTAATCTTCACAAATTTCTTAAAATAATGTATATTTTCTTCTTAAGGTCAAAATTAAAAGTCTTGTTTACTTTTTTTACTGAAAAAGTAAGCACGTTTTCCTTTTAATTTTTGAAAATATTTACATATGACCTATTTATTATTTTTTAAATATTTTATATTTTTATGGAGATGGGAAGGGAGGGAGAAAGAAAGGGAGAGAAACATCGATGTGAGACAGAAACATCAGTTGCCTCTTGCACATACCCTGTCTAGTACTGAATCCACAACCCAGGCATGTGCCCTGACAGGGAATCAAACCAGTGACCTTTCACCTTACGGGACAATGGCCAAGCAACTGAGCCACACTGGTCAGGTTGCCTTTCTTTTTTTCTCGAACACCAAATGAGTTTACAACTTACACCATATACAGGAATAAACTCGAAATGAATTAAAGACTTAAATGTAAGTCACAAAACCATAAAAATCCTAGAAGACATGGGCAGTAAAATCTTGGACATTCCTTGTAGCAATGTTTTGCCATTATATCTCCTAGGACAAGGGAAACAAAGGAAAAATATAAACAAATGGGATGATACCAAAATAAAAAGCTTTTAGACAGCAAAAGAAACAATCATCAAAATGAAAAGGGAACCAACCACATGGGAGAAGATATTTGTCAATGATACATCTCATAAGGGGTTAATTTCCAAAATATAAAATGAATTTAAACAACTCAACACCAGCAAGACAAACAATCCAATTAAAAAATGGGCAAAGGATCTGAATAGGCACTTCTCTAAACAGAACATACAGATATGCAACAAACATGAAAAGTGCTCAACATCACTAATCACCAGAAAGATGAAAATTAAAATCACAATGAGATATCACTTCACACCTGCTGGAATGGCTAGCATCAATGTATCAACAACAGCAAGTGCTGGAGAGGGTGTGGAGAAAGGGAACCCTCATGTACTCTTGGTGGGAATGCAGACTGGTGCCGCCACTGCGGAAAACAGCATGGAATTTCCTCAAAAAACTAAAAATGGAACTGCCTTTTGATCCAGCAATCCCACTTCTGGGAATATATCCTAAGAATTCCAAAACACTAATTCAAAAGAATATATGCACTCCTGTGTTCAGTGCATCATTATTTACAATAGCCAAGATCTGGAAACTGCCCAAGTGTCCATTAATAAATAAGCGGACAAAAAAGCTGTGATACATTTAAGATAATGGAATATTATGTGCAGTTTTAAAAAAAGAAGAAAATCTTTAAAAAAAACCATTTACTTATTTATCTTTAGAGGCGAAGGGAAGGAGAGAGAGAGAAATATCAATGTATGGTTGCCTCTCATGCATCCCCTGCTGGGAACTGGCCTGCAACCCAGGCATGTGCCCTGACTGGAAATCGAACCTCGATCCTTTGGTTCCCAGGCCTGTGCTCAATCCACTGAGCTACACCAGCCAGGGTAAAAATCTTACTTTTGGGGGGGAAATCTTTATTCATTTACTTTTAGAGAGAGGGGAAGGGAGGGAGACAGAAAGGGAGAGAAACAGCAACGTGCCAGAGACATACAGATTGGTTGCCTCTTGCATGCCCCCAACCGGGGACCTAGCACGTAACCCAGACTTGTGCCCTGACTGGGAATTGAACTGGAGATCTTTCAGTTCTCAAGCCAGCACTCAATCCACTGAGCCACACCAGCCAGGGCAGAAATCTCACCTTTTACGATAGCATGGGTAGACACAGAGAATGTTACACTAAGTGAAATAAACCAGTCAGAGAAAGACAAATACCATATGAGCTCGTTTATATGTGGAATCCAATAAATAAAAATAAACTGGTGAACAAAATAAAAACAGAGGCATGGATATACAGAACAGACTGATAGCTGTCAGAGGGAGGGTTTGGGGAGACTAGATGGAAGAAAATGAAGAAATTAACCAAAGAACATACATGCAGAACCCACAGACACAGAGCAGTGTGGTGATGGCCAGAGGGAAGGAGCATGAGGAATGGGTGGAGGTGGGCAAAGGGGGGAAAAATGGAGACATCTGTAATACTGTCAACAATATTAAGTTGTTAAAAAATTACCAATAAAGAAAATTTCATTTTACTTGAAAAGGGTGTATTTTCAAACAGATTACTATTGTCAGGTGTTACTTTATGAATCCTTTTTTTCAATACAGCCAACTTTTATGTAATAAAGCACGTAAAAAGTGATTACCTTTTGCATCACAGTTTGCTGTCTCTTGATCATTGCTGTCTGATATTTTTTCTCTTGACACTTTAACAAGGTAGAGATGCCTCTCTCCAGATTTGGAGCTGGATATCAAACAGACATGGGCTCTATTCATTGCCACCTGAATTAAAGATAATTTGACATTTTTTTAGTAATAAAATTTTTTTTAAATATATTTTATTGATTATGCCATTATAGTTGTTCTATTCCCCCTTCATTCCCCTCCACCCTGCACCCGCCACCATTCCCCCCCTTTAGTTTATGACCACGTGTCTCAAGTTCTTTAGATTTTATATTTCCCATATTATTCTTGCCCTCCCCCCTATGTATTTTCTACCTACTGTCTATGCTACTTATTTTCTGTACCTTCTCCCCCTTCTCCTCCTCCCACTCCCCTGTTGCTAATCCTCCATGAGATGTTCATTTCTATGGTTCTGCTCCTGATCTAGAAGTCCTCTTAGTTTGTTTTTGTTTTAGGTGTGGTTCTTAGTAACTGAGTTTGCTGTTTTTTCACTGTTCATCTTTTTTTTCTTCTTCTTAGGTAAGTCCCTTTAACATTTCATATAATAAGGGCTTGGTGAGGATGAACTCCTTGAACCTGATCTTATCTGAGAAGCACTTTATCTGTCCTTCCATTCTAAATGAAAGCTTTGCTGGATAGAGCAATCTTGGTTGTAGGTCTTTGGATTTCATGACTTGGAATACTTCTTTCCAGCCCCTTCTTGCCTGTAAGGTCTCTTTTGAGAAATCCATCTTGGCGGAAGTCCCCTAGTCATAAAATTTTTTTAAAAAATCTATGGGCCACAAGTACTATAAGTGTGCCTAAAAGATTTTTAAGAAAAAAAGATACCAAATTATTCTGTATATAAACACCTAAAAAAGATTGAATAAACTTTTCTTTCTCACCAAAGAAATCTGGGTCATGCTACTCACTAAGATAGCAATTCACATCAATTTTATAACACACACACACACACACACACACACACACACACACACACACACAACCACCTCCCGGGAAAAAAGTCCAGACTCAGAAAGGATGTGAGAGCCTGAAAGCATTTTTGGTGAAGTGAACAATTTCCGCACAGTTGTGTCTACAGGGCCAATAACTGGTAATACTGGAATCCTCACTTTTCTATGTGCTAGCAAAGACTTTTTCACTTATTCTACAGTCAAGTTTCTACTTCCATGCAGTATAGTCCAATTACATTTCAATTACATACCATTAATCTCTAAGTCTTTAGTCTCTGACTTTCACTTGTAAAGGTTTAACAGAGTAAAATTATAAAACAGCTATTATCATTGTTTAAATCAAATTCTACACATTTAAAAAGCCGACAAGGCTAATATGAAGAAAAATCACTCCCTACCTTTAAGAGCATGGCCAACATGGTAAGCAGGGTATCCACATAGCCATACATTTTGCCTTGTGAAAACAACAGAGTAGAACGATGAAGCAACAACTTCATTTCCTGAATAAATAAGCACATGATAATCAGTGTGGCAAAATTCCTTTGCTGCGAGTTGTTTTGTCTAGAAACCAAACTTAAAAACATGTTTTATCATCCTTCACTATAATGAAGATTCAATTTTTTAGAAACTATAATTTATAATGACTAATGCATGACTGAAACTTGAGACTCAAGATCATTTTTCAAATACACTAAATTTACTACGCTGAAATAAACTTTTGGATACACGCTGTAGAGACATCCTTAACTGGAGAGAAAGTTCTAAATATAATCCACCAAGAAAAACTTCAAGTTGCATGGCCCACCTGCTGCGCAGCATTTGCGTCTTGTGCTAAAGTGTCTGGATCATACATCGGTTCCAGAGCTTCCAGGGCTTTCTCAGGACGGCCCAGCTGCTGCTGAAGTGTGGAGAGAGAAATTCTTGCATCCAGGTGGAAGGGGGCCAGATCAACCACTTTGCCATAGCTTTCAGCAGCTCGCTCCATATAGCCTAAGGCCTTTAAGCATTCTGAGATGTTGAAATAACATGTAAGTATGAACTAAAGATTTGTAACCTTGCCAAAATTATTTCTCCATTTTCAAAGAAATATTACAGCAATGTCAAAAGATTTACAACAAGAAAAATGTATGAATAGTTCTAATACTTTAAAACAACTGTTGGTTCTAATTTCTATCTACTGACTGATCGATCTAATTGTTTCCTAACTAATTTCAAACTGTTCCAAGGATGTACTGAGCATATACTTACACTTTGGGATCCTGCTTTATTCATTTAGCATTATGCTTTCAACATTTTTCCACATCTTCATCAGGATTTTGAATGATTATAATATTCAATTAAACACATTATTTGCTTAAACATATAATTTGACATTTAGGGTTTTTTCCCCAAATTTTTACTCTAGTAAATAACACTGCAGAAAACACCTTCATGTATATAAGCCAGAGTTCACCAATTGGCTGACCAACTTAACCTGCTGATGTATTTTGTTTGGCCAAAATGCTGTTAAAAACAATAAACTGTCTTACATTTTTTAAAAGTAGGGTATTTATGAGTTCCAAATTACTGGATTCTTTTGAAAATCTGGACTTGGCAATAGTGGTCCCCCGTTCCCACAGGGCCCATCAGCACATGCTGAGACACAGCAGCACCCAGAGGACAGGGCTGTCCAGTTCCCACCCTCCCCTGTCCTCTCACTTGTCCGTTTTAACACTGCTGCTCCCTGTCAGGCTCCTGAGTTTTGTGACCCTCAATCCCTCACCTCACTCAGTTACTTCCCTGGGATAAGTTCTCAGAAGTGAGGGTTCTGGGCCCTATTCCTCAAATTGTGTGCCAATCACTCATTAAGTTCTATCACTTAAACTTGAAAACAAATCCCTGTAAGCATTTCTCCTCTGCACCCTAACAGCAACACTAGTCTAGCAAGGCCCTTTGCATCTTTTTTCTTCCTTTTTAAAAAAAATGTGTTGATTATGCTATTACAGTTGTCTCATTCCCCTTTTTATTCCCCTCTACCCTGCACACCCTCTCCCACCTACATTTCCCCCCTTTAGTTCATGTCCATGGGTCTTACATACAAGTTCTTTGGCTTCTACAACTTCTATACTATTTTTAACCTCCCCCTATCTATTTTCTCCCTATACCATTCATGCTACTTATTCCCTGTACCTTTCCCCCCTCTCTCCCCACTACTCCCCCACTGATAACCCTCCATGTGATCTCCATTTCTGTGATTCTGTTCCTGTTCTAGTTGTTTGCTTAGTTTGTTTTTGTTTTAGGTGAGTTTGTTGTCATTTTACTGTTCATATTTTTATCTTCTTTTTCTTAGATAAGTCCCTTTAACATTTCATATAATAAGGGCTTGGTAATGACGCACTCCTTTAACTTGACCTTATCTGGGAAGCGCTTTCCATTCTAAATGATAGCTTTGCTGGATAGAGTGATCTTGGGTTTAGGTTCTTGCCTTTCATATCTTCAAATATTTCTTTCCAGCCCCTTCTTGTCTACAAGGTTTCTTTTGAGAAATCAGCTGTTTTATGGGTACCCCTTTATAAGTAACTATCTCCTTTTCTCTTGCTGCTTTTAAGTTTCCCTCCTTCTCTTTAATCTTGGATATTGTAATTATGATGTGCCTTGGTGTGTTCCTCCTTGGGTCCAACTTCTTTGGGACTCTCTGAGCTTCCTGAACTTCCTAGAAGTCTATTTCCTTTGCCAGATTGGGGAAGTTCTCCTTCATTGTTTGTTCAAATAAGTTTTCAATTTCTTGCTCTTCCTCTTCTCCTTCTGGCAGCCCTATGATTCAGATGTTGGAACATTTAAAGATGTCCTGGAGGTTCCTAAGCCTCTCCTCATTTTTTAAATTCTTGTTTCCTCATTCTGTTCTGATTGAATAATTTTTTCTTCCTTCTGCTCCAAATCATTGAGTCCCAGTTTCCTTCCCGTCACTGTTGGTTCCTTATATGTTTTCCTTTATCTCACTTATCATAACCTTCATTCTTCCCTTCTAATTTGCGACTATATTCAACCAATTCTGTGAGCACCCTGATTTCCAGTGTTTTGAACTGTGCATCTGATAGGCTGACTATCTTTTTGTTGCTTAGTTGTATTTTTTTCTGGAGCTCTGATCTGTTCTTTCATTTGGGCCATTTTTGTTTTTTTGTTTTGGCATACCTGTTACATTGTATGGGGTGGAGCCTCAGGTATTTCACCCAGGCGGGGCAACTCAGGTCACTGAGTTGTGACACTGTATGTGGAAGAGGGGCCCAAGAGGGACCATTGACACTTGCTTCACTCTCTGGTTGGTTTTTAGTCACTTCCCTGCTACCCACAAGCGAACTGGGCCCTGCTGGTGCTGATTCCCGGGTGAGTGGGTTTGTGTACATTCCAGGACCCTGTGGGTCTCTCCAACAAACTCTCCTGTGAGGTTGAGAGTTTCTCCCACTGCCTCAAACCCCACAGGTGTTTTCGGTCAGAGGTTTTGAGGCTTTCTTTTCCCACACTGGAACCGTGGGTTGTGTGATCTCTCTCACTCCCAGTTGTTCCTCCTGGTTTATCTGCCTGCAAATGTGTGACTGCCAAGTCTGCAATCTGCCACCTTGCAGACCCACCGGCCGCTGCCTTGCCATGAGTCAGGCTAACTGTCTCCACCCCTCCTACTGGTCTGGATGAATGTGTCTTCTCTAACTCTTTGGTTGTTGGACTTTCATACAGTTCAATTTTCTGTCAGTGCTGGTTGTTTTTTGTTTCTAAATTGTTGGCTGTCCTTTGGTTGTGTGTGGGAACAAAGTGTATCTACCTACGCCTCCATCTTAGCTGAAACTCCTAGCATCTTTTGCCTTCACTGCAATTATACCGTAAAATGATAGTTTTTGCCTCCAATTGCTTTCTCAGTTCTCAAATTTCTTTAAGTTAAACTTTGACAATAAAGGAAGACTACTAAATATGGATGGATCATTACAATGGCATTTCTCCTAATTTTTTATTTTTCACTTTTAAAGATACTATAAGCATTAAATTCCTATAATGTTTCTTATATAATGAGCCCAAATTTCTTTACAATTTTTAGATGACTCTGAGCTTTCACCTTCCACTCATCTCAAGCTATGCTGGCTCAAAATGGAAACAGCGTTTATCAGCAGCATGATAATTGAACAGGGTTTGTAAAGTGTCTGCTATTAGTAACAGAAAGCAGGCTTGATATCACAGCCTTAGGAAGGCAACAGAAATTCAACTCTCTGTTCATGTCTTTAAAATTAAAGTACCACAAATATAATTTTATGATGGTATATTACATTTGTACTCATGTTTACTCAGTAAACTGTTACCTTAATTTTTAAGTGTTCTCTTTGCTATTTCATATCTGTGGTAGGCCTAAAAATATCTCATGCCAATCAATGCTTTTCTAATTATAGAGTACTTTCTGCCACTATATAATATTTTAAGAGCTATTAGAACTTTCTGCCATCCTGAGATATTTTAAACAGGGCTATTCAAATTATAATGCATCTTTTTATGTTGATTCAATTGGAAATTCTATTAGAATGTTTTTGGCTTTCATGTTTAAGAAATGTAGTTTCTGAAGCTATTTTTTCTAATCTAAATGATTTATTTCTAATTCATATGGATATAGATACAATATTTCAGATTACTGTAGACTTAGAAATAAAATGATAGATAAAACCCGATGTTGAGCATATTTTCAGCTCAAAGAACATTGAAAAATACGTTAATATTTTCCAAAATAATATATTACATATAAACCTTTAAAAGCACCTCAAAATTAGATTGCACCCCAGGTCTGACAATCTACGACTAGAAACTAGAGGCTATGACCAACTTAGACACAAGACGGGTATTAAGGGATTTTTAACAGGAACTTGTTAGTCCTGCTTCACTCTGGCATATTAAGTGAATCATTCCTCTAATGCATTGGTGAGGGGGCATCACTTAGTGACGGACCAATTTAGAATACTAACTTTCAAAAAAACTGCCCTGAAACCAGAAATACTGTCACTAAGATATTAACATGTTATAACAATTATTACTGTCTTGGGAAAGCCTCATCTACTTGTATGACTAAAACTTCTCCCTCCCACCAAAACTATCACCTGCATGCCGAAGCCAAACGACGGCAAGGTTGTATCTTTCAGAGCAGACGAGTGCACTCAGGAGAGGAAGTGCAGAGTTATATTCACCAACATCCAGGAAAGCTTCAGCAACATCTAGGTAGAGGTCTCCCATATCTTCAGGATTCTGTTCCACGAGTGTGGTCAAAAGAGGCTAGACCGCAAAATTAAAGCCTGAAGTCAAACCTTCATTACAAATGTGCACATCTGTGTCTCTTTCTCCTTTTAACATACACATCAGTCGTCTGGGCAAGCCTAAAGAGCAAGGCTTAATAAAAACACCTTTAAACAATCATTTTCTATTTACTTTTGACTCTCTATTAAGAAGAGCTCATACTGCTGTTGTTCACTCACTCATTACATCCGTTCGGAGGACTGTCAGAAGACAGGCCTGGAAGAAAGTGAGACAACACTGATCTCCTGCACCCTTCCTCTAACGAGCCAAACGCACCCTGCCTCAGGGACTCTGTGTCGTCTGTGTTTCTGGAAAGCTGTCCCCTCAGATATCAACATGGCTCACTTCCTTCGAGTCATCCTTCCAATGCCACTTTTCCAGGGAGGCCTTTCCTGACCACTCTATTTAAAGTGGAGCTCCTCCTGCAGCTCCTCCCATCCCCGACATTCCTTATTCTTCTACATTTGATCTTCCTCCAGAGTATTTATTTATCACCAACTAACATCCTATTTGTTACATATTTATTATCTATCTAATCTCATTAGAACAAAAGGTGTGGGTGGGCACAGATTTGTATATTTTATTCAATACCTACCCTAAAGTCTGCGAAGTAAATGCCAAATTTTTTAATTTAATGAAATAGAACAGCTGTCAGAAATTACCAATCATCTACAAAGCTCAATCTCCAATTCTGATCTTTGGATTGTTCTCATTTTAAAAGAAAAACAAAGCTATTATAAGCCCCATCCAAAACACTCTTACCTTTTATAAGACAGCCACACAAAGATGCTTATAGTGATTTCCTGGTTATTAGGAATTGTGAAACCTAGGCTCAACTTACAGTTTCTTGCCATCTAAAAAAAATTATGAATTTGATCTCCAGCATAGATCTTAATGTTACTTACATTAAGCGGTTCAAGGATGTTGAGATGAACAAGGCAGACCATCAACTTCACCGTGATATCTATTGGCACACCTTCAGGTATAGTACAAGTAACATTCTCACCAGCTGTGAATTACACAGACAGACACAAAGCAAGTTTAGAATGTGGGGCACCAGAAGCAAACTCCACCTCCTATGTAAGATCTCATTTACTCATTTCAAAGCAAATGATTCCGCAGTCAATTCTAAATTTGGCCAGCTCTAGCACTAAGTACTTACACTCCTTCAAGTCTGTTTTTGGCAGCAATTATCCTCATATTTTCCCCCTAATATCTTACTCACTTGTCCAAAACTTACACAAACCCCTACATCTTCTACCAAAACTACAAAGAACTAAAAAGACAATGAGGATAAACAAGGACAAAGAACTCTCTTTTCTTTTTTCTTGAACTTAAAAGTATCTTTCAGTCTTAACTACAAAGAGGTTGAGAAAGAGGTAAAATAGTACTATGTTTAAATCTAAAGTAAGATTTTTCAATGCTTAAGTTGGAAGTAAATTAGTAGAGAGCATTTTAAACCCTTTTTGAAAAGTAAACTGCTTTGATATGCTGTTCAGTACTCCATTCTTCCTTCATATAGCAGTAAAAAAGCCTGGGTCAGGTTAAAAAAAAAAGCCACATTCAACTGGACCTATTGAGAAATAAAAGGAACTGAAAACAATTTTTTAAGAGATAACTTGTGCGTGACCACTCACAAGAAAAAGATGTGATATGTCTCTTAGGAAAAAAATGCTTCTTGGGAAAACTTAGGACACAGTAACTATCAATTTCAAAATGCTGCATGATGAACAAGAGAGGATTATATACACCTTCCTACGAACAAGAAACTACCACCTGTATCCTCTTCGGCGGCGCCCTCTTCTGTCGATTTCTTTTCTAGCACGATTCCGGAGAAGTCTGTAATCACCTAACAGAATTGAGAGAGGGAGAGAAAGTAATGAAGTACGTATGAAAAGCCTTTTCACAATGCAAAAATCTATACAGTTAATTCAAATATTCCTTACAATGTACAAATGGGCTATAAAAAGCAACAGTAAGTCTCTTTAAAATAAGAAACAACTGTGACACAATAACATTTTTATACATTAACTAATGCTCAACTGAAGATATGTAATTCCTCTGTATCAAATCAAACTATTTTTCCCAACAGATTAAGAACTGAATTATAGCAATTCGTCTGGCACCTTTGATAATGATGATGGCTTTAACCATGTCATAACCACATTTTATATTTCCTATGGCATTCATATAGAATCTAGAAATGTTTCCAGACTTTATATAATTTATAAAGTAATAAATTTATAAAGTAATAAGTACATAAGTAGTATATGTAACTAAAATGAGGAACTGTCAATTTGTAAGAATTTCTAGAACACAAAAATGTGCTGCAAACCTAAAGAGCAACACAAATGTTCCCACCTCCAGAGCTTTGTCATACTGCTTGTTAGAAATGTACAGCTCAGCTGCTATGTTAACATCTTCCATGGAGACTAGGCCCTGGTGTTTTGAGAAGGCTTCTTCAATGATATTAATAGCTGAAGTAACATCATTGGCTTCATAGTAACTCCTAAAAAAGTAAATGACAAAAAGAATGAGTGCTTATTTAACTGGGATTATAAAATTCATTTCCTTGCTGATAGGCCCTCTGGCTGATTTTCATTTTCTTAAAATTTGAGAGGAGGAGGACTTCCGCCAAGATGGAGACGTAGGTGGAGGAACCACCTTGCCTCTGTCCACAACCAAATCTAAGAACAACTATTTTTACCAACAATCACAACCAAGCCACATGGAAAATCAACAACGCGGAGTCCAAAGACAACTAAATGCTCAGCTAAACCGGTAAGAGAAGCGAAACCAGCAGCGGAGCAGGTTAGCAAGAAAAAAATTCCCGGGTGGTGCGCAAACAGCGGAAGGCGCTGATCGCGAGCTAGCTACGGGAGCGCACAGGGAAGAGGCGCGGCGGGCAGTCTGCCTTCGGTCGGTCAGTTGCGCATCTGCGTGCGGAGAAACCAGTGGGAAGGGAAGCCGGCGCGGGGCAGCAGGCTCGCACAATTCCGATCGGATAAACAGGCCAGAGGCGAGTGGTGTGACTGGACGGGCTGGGCTAGCGGAGGGGAACGCCATTGCTCCCTCTCTGACCACGCCCCCACACACAGCGTCACAAACCAGCGACCTGGGTCGCCCCGCCCTGGTAAACAACTAAGGCTTCGCTCGCTTACTTAATAGCACGAATAGACCAAAAATGGCTCTAGGACAACTCAGAGCCCCAGAACCGATAGATCTAAGCGATGAAGAAATAGCCAGTCTTCCAGATGCACAGTTCAAAACACTGGTTATCAGGATCCTTACAGAACTGGTTGATTTTAGTCACAAATTAGAGAAACATATGGAAGCTAAACTAATTGAAATGAATGGTAATACAAAGGAAACCAATAGTAATGGAAAGAAAATTGGGACTCAAATCAAGGGAGTGGACCAGAAGGAAGAAAAAAATGATCAAACAGAAAAGAATGAAGAAATAAGAATTCAGAAAAATGAGGAGAAGCTTAGGAACCTCCAGGACATCTTTAAACGTTCCAACATCCGAATTATAGGGGTACCAGAAGGGGGAAAGGCACAGCCACCAGTGGAAAACTTATTTGAACAAATAATAAAGGAAAATTTCCCCCATCTGGCAAAGGAAATAGACTTCCAGGAAATCCAGGAAGCTCAGAGAGTCCCAAAGAAGTTGGACCCAAGAAGGAACACACAAGGCACATCATCATTACATTAGCCAAGATTAAAATGAAGGAGAGAATCCTAGAAGCAGCAAGAGCTAAGGGGACAGTCACTTACAAAGGAGTTCCCATCAGACTGTCAGCTGATTTCTCAAAAGAGACCTTACTGGCAAGAAGGGGCTGGAAAGAGGTATTCCAAGTCATGAAAACCAAAGACCTACAACCAAGAGTGCTCTACCCAGCAAAGTTTTCATTTAGAATGGAAGGACAGATAAAGTACTTCTCAGATAAGACCAAATTCAAGGAGTTCATCATCACCAAGCCCTTATTATATGAAATGTTAAAGGGACTTACCTAAGAAAAAGAGGATAAAAAAGATGAACAGTGAAAGGACAGCAAACTCACAGTTAGTAACAACCACACCTAAAACAAAAGCAAACTAAGAGGACAGCTAGATCAGGAGCACAACCATAGAAATGAAGATCTCATGGAGGGTTAGCAACAGGGGAGTGGGAGGAGGAGAAGGGGGGAGAAGGTACAGAAAATAAGTAGCATAGACAGTAGATAGAAAATAGATAGGGGGGAGGGTAAGAATAGTAGGGGAAATACAGAATCTAAAGAATTTGAGACACGTGTTCATGAACTAAAGGGGGAAATGGTGGGGGAGGGGTATGCAGGGTGGAGGGGAATGGGGGGGGGAATAGAGCAAATGTAATGGCATAATCAATAAAAAAGTTAAAAAAAAATTTGAGAAGAGGAAAACTCTTCCTTAAAATCATAATCAGAGCTGATTCAGAGAAACACGTACAATGTCAGTACAACGTCAAGTCTCCTGCTCCCCCAAAGCTCATTCCCTCTGTAACGCCAGCTCTTCTCCCACGGTGGGATCTACAAAGCATTGACCCTACCACTGTTCTGCACCCTTCCTGTCCTCACTTCCCTCCTCCACGGTCCAACATTATAATTACTCCCTTATACATCTCCTCAACTCCCTGCCCTTCTCTCCCTTTATCAAAATCATCGATGACACTGCCATCCTGCTCAACTGGATTTTGACTACTCTGTATCACCAGCTGCCCATGCTGACCCCAGTCATTCTAAATTAATGACCACTAGCCTCAAGTAGGCTCATGATGCTGGTCAGCAATCTTCCTACAATTTCCCTAGTACTTTTCAGACTTGAGTGTACACAGGGATCAACTGGGGATCTTCTAAAAAACACATATTCTGATCCCATGGTGCTGGGCAGAGTTGAGACTCCACACTTGTGACAGGCTCCAAGGTGACACAAACGCTGCCCATCTGTGGGGCTGCAAGATCCTAAAAACCTAGACGACTACGTACCACCCTCCCTCCAAGTTCCAGCACTCTCCCATTCTCACTCTCACCTTCTCATTTTACAAGAGAACTAAGTCAGGCATCGCACACACTCCCAACATGTCTATCTACTCACTCACACCCACGTTATCTACTCCATTCTCCTTTTATCAAAGGCTGACCCCCAACTTGATCCCATTCCCTCCAACCTACTCAAGGACATCACTCAAGCAACTGCTCCCTCTCATGAATCTTCAATATGTCCCTCAGTTGTGAATCCTTCCCATTTGAATACAAATATTTTGTAATCTTTCCCAACTTAGGAATGATCTCTTCATTAGAGCCCATTCCAATTACCTTCCTTCTCTTCCGGTCTCCTTGTAAATTTCTCCAACAAGCTGCCTGTCCCCAAGGAGACAAATGTCAGTACTCCGTCCTCCTTTCACATGGCCTATCTGCACTATTTCACACAGATGATCATCCCTCCTCCTCGAGGTGCTTTCTTCAATAAAATTCTAGAACATTATGCTCTCTCAGTTTCCTGCCACTGCACTGCCCATTTCCTTCTGGTCTGTTTCCTCCTCATCTTCCAGACTTCTAAACACGGTGGGACCTTAGGGTTTAGTCCCTAGAACTCTCCCCTTCTCTTTATTACACACAGACACACCACCTCACATTCAATATATTAGAAAATCCTGAGAGTTCAGCCTTAAAAATACATCTAGAATGATTACTTCTCACCACCTCCGGCAGCTTTTACCTTGATCCAAGGTACCAATACTCCTTCCATGGATTACTGCAATAATTTCCCAACTGTTCTCCCTGCTTCTGCACTTACCTTCCCTTAATCTATTCTTCAAAGAGCAGCCAGAATCAATGCATTTAAAATTTAAGTCAGATCATGTCACTCTTCTACTCAAAACATTCCGGTGCCTTCCAGACCCAGTCAGAGCAGAAGCCAAAGCCCTTACAATGGCCCACAAAGGCCAAGGGACCTTTTCTGACATTACCTCCTGCTATGCTCCCCTTAAACCTTCCGCTTCCATGTGTCCCCTGTACATCTTCCTGAGACAATGGCTGCTGAATTAATAGGGTTAGCCCTAACATACTATTAACACAGATTTCCAGAACAGAAAGCATAGCACAAGGCTTTACTTAATCAAAATGTTTCCTGCTTTGTTTTGTTGTATAGCATATCAGAGAAATAAATGCACTTGGGCATAAAACTTTAGAATAATATATATACCAAAGTCAGTAGCAGATGCTAACTATAAAAGAAACTTTTCATCTGAAAATGGTATTCTACTATTAGCTCCAGATAAAATGATTCAGAAGATCCCAGATCACAAAGATTTCATTGGCAATAGTTTAAAATAATATTACCGCAAATGTATATAACTTTAAGTAAGTTATGGAAACCTGGGAACTCAGTCATCCTTTCAAAACAGGCTCCATTTTTAAGCTTCTGACCAATTTAAAGGTAATTGTATATACACGTTCTTCCAAGCAATCACATGGTTTGATTGGAAACATAAAAGTACTGAAAAAAAACCCCACAAAAATTCCAACCCACCTCTTCACTTAAGTACAATATACTCAATAAAATACAAGAACCAAAACACTTCCTTGAACATCAATAAAAAGTATATTCTACTTCAAACATACACTTTTCTAAAATATGATGCTTAACAACAGCATTTATGTACATTTCAACCCAAACTTACTTTGCCATATCTCTAGCCAACTGCATAAATCGTTCTCCATCAGACAGAGACAAAAGGTTTAAAATACGCCTATAACCATCCATTGCCATTTTATGATCTCCCATCTGTTCATAAAGGCTGGATCGCTCCCATAGATAACGGACATTAGTAGGTTCATATTTAAGAGCTAAAAAGAAAAAAGATAAATTAATCATACAAAGGAATTCATGCCACCTGAGTATGATCCATTTTCTTTCAGAAAATATTTCATAAACACTGTAAACTAATTTTCCTATGAAATTAAGCAGGTTATTCAGGAATAAACATATCTTCCCAGGAACTATCAACTAAGTCTGATCTCAGACCAGATAGACCCTGAATTATATTAATCTTCATGTGCTCACTGTAGTCTGATATTAACCTTCAAGGAAGAGCTTAGCACCAACACTGACCTTGGTGGGAAAATGATGGTTCTGTTCTTCTACTAACTTGTGCTGTATTAGCTGACAATATAAACAAAATTGCTGATAAACATGGAAACAGAGGAATCCCAAATACCCTGGTATAACAGAATATAAGGAATATTTTTTAGCTAACATCACCCTAAAATATCAAGTACAACTGTCAAAGAACCTATTACGTAACATTTTATCAAATGAAATGAATACATTTTAATTACCTTTGGTGTAGCAAAAAATTGCCTGCTTAATATTGTCTTGTTCCAGAGACATTTCTGCCAATCTAACCCATTCTTCAGTGTCGCTAGGATTTAAATGCGCAGCAATCAACTCAAACTGCAGTGATTTCTCCATGTCGCCTTGGTCCTCGTATATCATGGCAAGAGTAGAGAATGGCTCATAAGCCAGGGGAGCTACAGTGAATTAAAAAAAAATTCCATTGGCTGAAGGAAGAGGCTTGAGCTGATGCCAACCCCATGGCACAAACTGTGGGTCCTTCTTCTAATATCTAAACTCCTTAGACGACTCTATTAGAATCATACTACTTAACAGAATTTAAAATAAACACTAGATTATATCTGCTTTATTTTCAGACACCTTCGGCATTTTTAAAGCATTCTCTGCTCTAACCAAAGTGTAATTTCATGAAAAACCCTACTCTCCACCTTGCCACCTTCATGAAATCCCCCTCTGCTAAGGCTAAACTGCAACTGTCGCTAATCCCCACAGGAAACACCTTGTCTTATGATTTCCATGCACATCAGAATTGCCTCTTCATGTTCTCCTCGAGCAAAGCGAATGTTGGCTTCGCCCATGAGACCTCTCAGCGCTCTGGGAAGCTTACTCCGAGGCCTTTTCTCCTGTCCAGAACAAAAATGACATCTAGATTAAAATACAGTGATGTTTTAGATTTCAGTTCCAACCACATTAATAAATATAGACTGGAACAAAACTGAAATGTCTTTAATACTTTTCAATCTGCATTCAGAACTAAGGACTAAATGGCTAAATTCAAGCTTGGGAAATAAACTATTCTATGATACTCTCCAAAAATGAGCACCTCAGAAAGTTAAAACAAAAAAATTTTCTATAGTAGAAAGTTCAAGGCACAGTAAAATATTTAAAGAAAGCAAAACCAAAGTGATCAGGAATTACTAAATTACTGATTAGAATAATAACAAACGTAGAACTGCAAGCTGGTGAATGAACTTCTATGCCAGACTGACTACAATGCAATCTACTAAAGATCTTCCTTCTTTCAAATCCACCTACTCAGACTGAAGTTGTAAATATCAATATGGACTTTTTATTAGCAAAACTATAGTATATTTTGATACATGAAATAATTAAGGTTTTACATTTAAAATATCTCTAAATGAAACAAAAGAAACCAGTAGCTGTCTCATAGTATTTCCTTTCTTAAGAGTTTGAATCCTTCTTCAATGTCACATTTTTACACTTTTATTTAAATTTATTTTTATTATTGTTTTTCAGAGAGAAGGGAAGGGAAAGAGAAAGGGAGAGTAACACCCATATGTGGTTGTGTCTTGCACATCCCCTACTGGGGACCTGGCCTACAACCTGGGCATGTGCCCTGACTGGGAATCAAACCAGCAACCCTTTGGTCCTCAGGCCTGCGCTCAATCCACTGAGCTACACCAGCCAGGGCACATTTTTACACTTTTTATATGACAATTTTAAGTAACAATTTACCTTCATCATTTTCTTGGTTTCACGATTGAGAACCATCTCTAGCATAAACACATCCCCTGCGGTGGGTTGTTCAGGTGTTTCTTCCTCCTCCTCCTCCTCCTCTTCTTCTTCCTCTTCATCATCTTCATTCTCTCCAAGCATGGAAGCAAAGACCTTGTGAACCGATTTACTAACTCCATCTGATGTTTCTCCTGGTGAAAGGCACATTGAGATGGGGGAGGGAAAAAAGCTTTAGAACACTCGGTAGTCAAAAGGGGGGAAAAAGCAACATTTTCTGCATGGTAAACTTCCATCCCAGCAAACCCGAGAGTAAAGAACAGACAAATGAACACTCCCAAAACAACCCCCTGAAAGAAAGCTGTCATAAAAGCTATGCATTTTACTCTGTAGGAATAGGCAGCCCTCCTTTGGGCCTCATCTAGATACACGGGCAAAATTAAATGGGAAATGAGAAGCACAAACAATAACGGTTAAAATAAGAGAAGAAAAAAATGAAAGAATTTTAAGACATAGACTTAAGAACTAAATAAGTCTGGTGGTACAGAACCAGGTGGTATGCACAGTGGTTACAGGTGAGGCTTCTAGACCTGAGCTGTCTGGTTTCAAACTTCATCTATCACTAAATGTGTAATTTTAGGGAAATTACTGAAGTTCTCTGTAGCTCATTTGTAAAAAGGGGTTAATGTTTACCTCACAGTACTACTCTGAAGATGAGATTTTATTTACATGGATTTAGAATGCTTACTTAGAATAAGTAAGAGCTTAACACTATTACTTATATTAAAATAGTATAATTTCAGGAACAAAACACAATATGCAAGGTCTGTCCAGAAAAAGTAGACCATTGTTAATATAATGAGAATAGTTTGCATGACATCAAGGTAACCTGGCATGGAAGGAAGAGTGGACTGGAATGCACATGTGTGAACAGTGATGACTTCACTGTACTGGTCAGTGGGGGTGGTAGATGCCACTGAGTGAGCATGTGCACTGTGTGGCCGTCACATTCAAAACAACTGAGTGAGTACAGCTAATGACGCTCCATTGGATTTTGTGTTAAGCTTGAATATTCCTCCGCAGAAACTATTCAGCTGATTCAGAAGGCTGCAGCTACAGGCAACTGGTGGTTGGCAGCTTCATCACAACACACCTGCTCACATGTCACAAAACATCTTGTGCAGAGTTTTTGACTGAAACATCGAATCATCCAGGTGACTCAGCCCCACTACAGACCACATTTGGTGCCTTGTATCTTGTGGCTTTTCCTAAAACTAAAATCACCTTTGAAAGGGAAGACATTTCAGACCATTGATGAGACTCAGGAAAATATGACAGAGCAGCTGATGGCGACTGGGAGAATTGTATGAGGTCCCAAGGTGCCTACTTAGAAGGAGACTGAGGTGTCATGGTCCTATATACAATGTTTCTTATATCTTGTGTCTTCTTCAATAAATGTCTCTATCTTTCATATTACTTGGCTCAACAGCAAAGACCCTGTACTTCTTCTTATATCTGAGAATACCACTACAGTCCAATGATTTTTCTAAGTTTATGATGATAATCTTGAATGATCAAGATTAAGTTTAGAAGCCAATTTTCTGTTAAAGCAGACATGTAACATATTTTAGAAAGTTCCAACAAAATACTTAAAGTTTTAAAAATATGTGTATCTTTGTGTTAAAAATAAAACACTTAAGTTTATTCACTTAGGTAAAACATCTCAAACCTCAAAGGTGCCAGATAAATGAAACAGTCAAAATGTTTAAGAAAATTAAAAAATCTCCATGTTCTGAGCAAAAACTAATTATTATGCAGTCATAATAGTTATCTTTGAGAATTCTGTACATCCAAAATATAAAAAGAAATGTGTGAAATAAAACCCTACCAATGAAATTTATTACAGTAACAGCAAAAATGAATAAAAAATCATATGATCATCTTGATACAGAAAAATTATGATAAAATCCAACACCCCTTCTTAATAAAAATTCTTAGTAAACTACAAATGGAAGGGGGTATCTTTAATTTGATAAAGAGTAAAAAATTTTCCATAAAAACAGTTAATGGTGAATTACTCAAAGTTACTGGGAGTGGGACAAATATGCCTACTACCACTATTCCTTTCAACATTTTACTGGAGGTCCTAGTTAGTGTAATGAGGAAACAGAAATAAAAGGCGTGATTACAAATGGCGAGGAAGAATTAAAACTGTCATAATTGATATGATTTATATACCTAGAAGATACAAAAGAATCTGTACACAAACTGTCAGAATACATGAACTTAGCAAGGTTCCTGGATATTGGGTCAATACACAAAAACTAACTATACAGTAGCTTGTATATCAGCAACAACAAACTGAAAATAAAATTAAAAGATGGCCCTATTTGAATGGTGAGTAGGAAAGATGCTCAAGAGCAAGAATTTAGCAGTGGGATTCAGCAATGTATAGGAGGAAAAAGACAATAACCATATGATCCAATTAGCAGACTGCCAAAGCCTGTTCAAAACTGAACCCTTTCTTGTCCTGATTTGTGTAGCTCAGTGGATTCAGTACTGGCCTGAGAACCAAAGGGCTGCTCGTTCAATTCCAGGCCAGGGCACATGCCTGTGTTGCAGGTTCAGTCCCCTGTTGGGTGCATGCCAGAGACAGCTATTTGATGTTTCTTTCCCCTTCTTTCTCCCTCCTGTCCCCTCTCTCTAAAAATAAATAAAATATAAAACTGACCCCTTCTTGTGCTCTGAACATATACTCACACTGACCAAGGGTCTTGGTAAACTTCTGGAACAATTCCTTCTTGGGAAATTGGGAGCTTTGTCTCTTAAAAGTACTAATGAAATTATGTGAGCAGAGGACATCCATTCCTTATGTGCCTGACTGCTCACATGAGCTAGAATTAGACTCAATCAACCCCTTTTTAAGGAAGGGCCCCTTGGCCACCTGTCAGGGACAGCTTTAGGCAATAGAACTGGTGGGCACCAGTGGTGCTTGCTACTGCGGTTGTACCTTCAAAGACCTATTGATGGAAGAGGTGCTCCACCCCTGAGCAGGTAAGAAAGGACCACAGCTTGTTGGAACAACTTCAGCCCACTTTTCCACCCCACCTGCCTGGCAAGGTAAGCAACTATAACCCCAACTTTATACCTTTTTGTCATTTCTTCCCAACTTTTTCCAAGGAGTTAGGAATAAAGCCTGTTTATTTTCTCTGTGGGGAAAGGCTTACTTGTTTGTTTGTTTGTTTGTGTGTGTGGGGGGGGTGAAGGGGGGGGCAGGCTCTATTTCTACCCTCTAGGATGAGCACGTTTAATTTAGTTCTCAATAATACTCTACACATGAAGCTACCTTCTACTGATAGTACATCATTATAGGAAACTTGATATGGGTAAACGGATACCATGAATTACTATAGATACTCTTATCACTAGAAAACTATATTGGTTACTATAAATTAATAAGTTTGCATACTAGATCATCAGTTAAGCTCAGATGAACTTACCTGGGTGTACTAACAAAACTTAATATCTGGACGGGCAGAGCTGAGGACTGGATCCTGGAATGAGGTAGCATACCAAGATACCTATGGTGTGTGTGAGGTCCTATCTTGGCAGCCAACAGGGCTTCTACTCTGACATTCCTATCTTATCTCCTACAGCTAAAGCAGTGTTTTGGAAGCCACTCTGTATAGAAGTGTAACTCATTACAATTTTAGGGAGTATAGTCTGGAAGTAATTAGTAACCCACTGAGAGAACCAATTTAAAAAATAATTCTGAAAAGGCTCCCACACAAATACTGATGCCAATCTGAAACACTTTTCACAAAAATAACCCATAAAACTAACCTTTGCCATATGCAATTAACTCAATTATATACTGTGCACGCTGCTCTTAATATACCAGGAAATCCACAACAAAATGCCGCTGCAATGAAAAAATGTTTCCACTAAATTATCAGGTACTTTTAACATTTAATTCAGGTAGCAAGTGATCTTAACATACCTTCATTGGCATCTTTGTCCTGGGATTTGGTGGAGTCAATTCCTGATGATGATGGAACTTCAGAGTCACTTGGATTTTCTTCAGCTGATAGCTTTCCTTTTTCCTGAAGACTCTGTGATCGGAAATTAATGAATGATTCCAAAAACTAATGCGGATTTAGCTCTCTCCAGCAGAAAATAGAGCACTGGCCTCACTTTCTCTTTATATAAAACTTGAACGCCCCACACATATATTATGTAGAACCTAAATTTGAGTATTATCAAAGTATTACACAGTACTTAGGTCTCATTCTTCAGTCTGAATTATTTATAAAAAATAATAAAAATATAGCTTGAGGATTTAATCAATCCATACATTGCGTCCTAACATCTTAAATGAAAATAGCGCACTATTAGTTGAATGAATTAGGAAAGAATCTACCAACTAATTTCAGAGGGTGCAATTTTATTTTCCCTCGGACTTCAAGTGAGAACATTTGGAAAATTCAGTTATTTCTTCGTAAGCATGAAAAATATATATGAGTTCAGACTTTGTTTGTTTGCTTGTTTAAGACTGTATCACACCAGAAGATGGGGGAAATAAAAAAAAGTTATATCACACCATTGGGAGGCTCCTCAAAAACTGAGGGAGCTCAAATGCGTCAGTTTAAATAAAGAAACTGAGGCGTAAAGAACAGGTGAGCTGACCAATCAATGTCACAAAAAGACTTACGGGCAAAGCTAGGGCTAGAACCAGATATTCTGACTCCAAACTCTACCCCCCACTTGCTTATTTAACCTACCAGTGTTAGGCTATCCACATTTAAGAATTAGTAAATTTGGCAAGAGACAAAAGAGAAGAGGCTACTACCAAGACAAAAGCTTTTTGAAATGTTTTTAAGAGCGTGGCACAGATATGCGACTTGGAAACCCGAGTTCCGGTAAGAAGAGAGAGAAGCTCCTGGGTGTTAAAGGCCCGCCCCACCGAAGCAATCGGGGTCATCTGGGTTCCCACGTTGCTCTAAGCGTTATCAGGCTACAAGACAGCGAGAAGCATTCTAGCCCAGCATCTCCTCACTTTCTTCTCGCGGGTTTTTCTCTCCTCTCTCCGCCTTTCGAACTCCTCAAACGAGATCTTCCCTTCCAGGTAGTCGATGAGCTCCGGGCTAAAGCCCGACATGTCTGTGGGGTTGATATTCAGCCCCACGAACCCAGAGAGAAAACAACAACAATAAAAAAAACAACTCCTCGAAGACTCAACCTGGGGGCGGAGCGCCGGCAGCAAAGACCCGACGTTCAACCGGGAAACGAGCCCGACCTCTGCTGCAGCCGCCTCGCTCGGGTTCCGCGGCAACAGTAGCCCGGACCTTTTTCCGGAAGGTGCCGACGGACTTTTCCGGCGGAGCCTTCCTGCGCCCCGCCCTTGCCTGCTTCCTGGCTCCGGACTCCTACTTACTATTAGGGTTTGGGGGGGAGAAAAGCGCTTTAAGGAGATTTATCTTAGTCTAGATTGTTTCCCTCAGTCCTTCATTAAGATTTTCGCTCCCAATTTATTTCCTTTTCCGAGTGTTTGTTTAGTTAATTCGATATTTGCTGTAGTGATTTTTTTTAATTGAACATTTGCTCTGCCACAAGCGTGTTCCACTTTCCAGTTTTCTCCTGACACTTAAGCTAAAATCCTCCTCCATTTTTTTTTTTTTAAGATCTAAGTCTCGTCTCCTCCATTCATTGGCACTTTTTCATTCTCCACAAATCCCCAAACATACCCTTTCTTCGGGCTCCTTTTCAGTCTGTAAACTAGTTTATCTGGACTTCAGCACGTTTTCTTCTTTTCTTAACAGTCAAATGCTTGATATGATTAGTGTACACTGTTGCCCGCTTTCTATAGTCCACTTACTGTCCTATGCACCTTCACACATATCTCAAAATAACTCTTAAAATTGGTTGCTGTTATTCCTAGTGTCAGAAGTCCCATATCTAATTGGTAGTGGAGCCAGGATTTGAAGCCTGGTCTATCTGACTCCAAATCCCGGGCTTGGAATTAATATGATTAACTGCTGCCCCACTCCATGAAACTATTCTTCACCTCCTACACACTCTTTTGATTTATATTTTTACCTTGTATTATAAATTTTCTCTCTTACTCTAGAGACACCACTAGCTGTGAACATACTGAGAACAGCACTACCTGATGCATCTTTATGAACTCTCCTTTATAGTTTAGTAATCTGTGTTTAAAACAAAGTTTAAGGATTAAACAGTTTATGGATTAAATTGGACAGAGTTGAAAGTTTGCCTTAGGAGTGGGCAAGGGAACTGAGGTATGGAAAACAATTCAATGTGCAACTAAGGTTCTAGACAAGTTACAGGGCGCCTACCACTTGCCCACTGGTGCTTCTTCGTGATAATCCAGATGAGGATAAACAAGAAGATGGCAAAGAAGCGGCCAGGACCTGCAAGAGGGGGACTGCCAGGTGAGAAAAAATATCTCACAGCTAAAACTTGTCCCCTTTCTCATGATGAAAAATCCTTGGGGCTCTAGCAGGGTATAGACTATGGGGGGCTAGGAGGGTAGGTTGGAGTAAGGTAGTGCACAAAAGTCACTTATTGGGAGTTTTCTCCTGTATTTCTCCAGGCAGTTGGGAAACTGTACCCAAGGGAAGATCAAAAGTCTCTCGTACTAAGTGTCCTAGAAGAAAACAAGGGAATCAAAGGAGGAAAGGTGATCAACTGATAAGGAGAATGCTCTTCTAAAACCAAGCTGGTTTAGACTAGCTTGTTTATTGTTGGCTGCCTGGAATATGGGAATAACAATCGTGAAGGTATATTCATGTTGTAGAGAGTAGGGAGCAAGAGGTACACAGATAACTTTCCTTCAATAAAACACCTTTGTGACTTGAGAGTTCTTTTGCAGGTCAGAATGTGGCAATATAACTTGAAATTGAAATCTTTCCATTTTCCTGTTCTGCACTTCCCTGTGAGTGATTTGTCCGCTGGAGAGTCAGAGGGCACCTGCATTACCTTGAGATGAAGTGGGATTGTTATGGCAGTAATGAAAAGAGCAAGAAGAAACTTTTTAGACTTTCAGACTCATTCTTTAGAATCAAATGGGATGCCTGAAGAAAGCAAACTGTGGAATTTGTGACATGACAATAGAATTAAGTGTACAAAGAAGGAAATGTCTCCATTCTTTCTACTTGTCAGAATGGGGTTTGGCCTTTCTTGGGGAGATGATATTTCCATGGTTCTTTCACTTTTCTGTAAAAGCTTGTAAAAGTTTTCATTCTGGGCTATTTTTTTTAACCAAACATTCTCAAAAGATAAAGATATTGACTCCCTTTGGGACAAAGGGCAAATTTGTTTTCCCTCCAGTATAATAAAGATAATGTTTCTCTCTGGGGCAAAGGTTGAGCTTATTTGCTAGTAGCCCTCTTATAAGAGTGGGGGTTTCCTAATTTAGGGTTTCTCAGATGTGGCACAAGCACTTGTGCAGAGCACACACCTGGACCCACGTCCATGGCCCCATGATACGTGGTGATGAGCAGAAGCAAGGTGAATATAAAACTCATGCTGCCTGCCGCACCTGGGTAATCACATCCGCTGCTTCAGATCCGGGAGTTTCGGGTGTCTGCCAAGATCAGTGCAACTGTAGAAGGGTTGTATGTAGATTCCAAATAAGGCAAAACCTCCCACTCTTAGTGGTCTTTCTCTCCCTAATCTGGGACAGGGGACAATAGGCCATGTCCTGGGGACCAGAGTAGGGTGCTCATCAAAGAGGAACAGAGTCAGTGTTGAGAGACTGTCAATGGCCTGTGTAGGGAAGAACCCATGGACACCTGGACAGCCTAGATCATCTGCAAAACATTTATTTCCACTGGAGGAAACACTACATGTCTGCTGTTTTCCTAGCAATGGTTCTCATCCAAGAACAAAATCACTTCCCCAGTGGGCTTTTAGAAATATGCATAGAGAGGTCTGGGTTGTCAAAATAATAGGGCAGTGGTGGGGAAACTACTAACAGAGTGTCTGGGGACTGAGTGTGCTAAATGGTCACACACAGTGATGACTCAACCTTCCCTGAATGCCAAGCAGAATCACCTTTAAGAAACTAGTCAGTGTGACCTGGCTGATATAGCTCAGTGGACTGAACACAGGCCTTGGAACCAAAGGGTTGCAGGTTCAATTCCCAGTCAGGGCACATGTCTGGGTTGCAGGCCAGGTCCCCAGTAAGGGGTGCACAAGAGGCAACTACACATTAATATTTCTCATCCTTTTTCTCCTTCCCTTCCCCTCTCTCTAAAAAAATTAACAAAATCTTAAAAAAAAAAAAAAAGAAAGAAAGAAAGAAACTAATCAGCATGGAGAGCTATCCTATCATCAGTAGCTACCTGCCAATTGTGTGGAATTTTCCAGAAGGATGCATGCTCCTGCTCTAAGACTTTGCAAGCACATAGCTAAAAATTCCATGTGGATGCCCCTTTTTTTTTCAAAGGCCCTGAACTGGTAAGCGTTCCCTTTGTGGAGGTCTTGGCACCCAGAGCGGGGGTGGTGAGAGCAAAGAGAAAACTGGTCACTGGTACTTGAGTGGAACTGGAAAAGGTGAAACTCCCTACCACGCCCCCACTTATCTGAATAGACTATATTTTTATCAGGAATAGCTCATCAATAATTAAGTATGCATTTAAAGTGTAAGAAAATATTATTGACTAACTAGAATCAGCCTTTATTACTGTGTGAATAATAGCAGAACAGCACACATTTATTTCAATTCAACAAGTATTTACTGAACACTTGGTACATGACAGGCATTGTGCTAGGTGCTTGAGAAATAAAAATGGCTTACAAAGACCTCACAACCCTCCATGAAAAACAGACTCATATGCAACTAATTCCAGCAGAACATATTAAACCAGACACAGAATCTGTTCCTGCATAAATATGTTACTCATGATCTTCAGTGTCAATCATCCACACACACACCAAAACAAGCTGCAAAAACCAAACCTGGAATGTACAGACTAATGTTATCAGGACACCAATGTTTGCTACTAGTACCATGTTCCTTTTGCAGGAACCACAGGGGAAAGGATGCAGTTCTCCATTAACGATACAAGAAAAGTCGTTATTCCAAATGAGAATATGAGAAACAGGACAGTTCGGCCCAAGCAGGCAGGACGGAGGAGGGCTGGTCGTCACCGGCACCAGTTCCCACCCTCCCTTCCTGAAGAGTCATCTGTGGGAGAGCCAGAGCCCAGGAGCGGCTGGGATGTGCAGTGTGGCACAATGTCCGCCTCTGAACACAGTGACAGAGGACATCTCCCAGGACCCTCACAACTTTGCAAATTCCAAGTTTCTTTACTTTCTATTTCAACATAATTGTGGGTAGTTATCACATATCTTCTTAGGTATGAAACTAAGACTGGGAGGTCTTTCAACAGCATCTGCTGAAAGTGTGAGTGCGTCTTCTTTCTGGGAAAAAGACAAAATTTAAACTCAAATCCCTAGTGCATATAGTAAACTAAAGTAAAAATGAGCAATATCCCCTTCAAATGGAAGTATTGATTGATAAAAAGTAACATATACATGTAAAGGAAATGTAGTTTCTCTCGACTTTATGATGTTTTTGTAACTCTTGCAAACACATGCAGTGCTCTAAATTGATACTTACAGTTATGGAGTGGAAAAAAAACACCAAAAATGCACATAAGTTGCCTATGTCCCCAAGTCAAGCTGGTTATATGTCAATGTGGAATAAAACCATTACAAGTTGACAAAAGGGTGGGGGGGAGGGGTTTAGCGGTGACCATGATTGAATTTCATGAGAGGCCGCATCTGTGGTTCAACAACAGCCAGACACCTGAAGGGACAAAGAGACGCTCCAGTGAAACGGAAACTGGATATAACGGAAGATTATATACAATTAACAGAAAGACTCGAAGACCAACACGTTTCAGTGAAAACGCTCTTTGTTTTCATTTCCTAATAGAGATCTTAGGAAAGGAGAGCTTATCTTTATACAATTGTAGAGAAAGCATTTGTAAATATTTAATTATTACCTCATCCCACACTCCCCTGAAAGTATGTATTCAGTATATTCTCTGACACTTTCTGTGAGACCCGTATCTGCGACTTACAGGTGGAAAAACTCAGGCTCAGCAGCAACTTGAGTGCATGCAATACTGTCTTGCACTCACGTAAGTGCCATGGTCCTTAGGCCTGGGGCCTAAGCATGGAAAATAGTTAAGGCTTCATTAACATCTGTTCATTTTATTCTATGTTCTCACATAGAGTTTTCAAGTGCATATGCCACATGGTCGGTTGCATCTTCTCTTTAGAATAACATTATTTTTTTCACTTCTTAAATTATATTTTTCCCGTTACTATTTATCCCCCTTATACCCACCTTCCCCCTGTACTCACCACGCTATTGTCCACGTCTGTGAGTCCTTTTCCCTTTTTGCTCTATTGCTCCACCTCCTAACCCCCATCACTGTTTGTAATTACTTCATTTAAAAGAACTGCTCATCAAAATCCTTCCACATGTACAGTATAGTGCAATAATGGTGTCCTCCTCACAATAATATTCCTACCCTTGTGGAAGAATAGGAATGGATTTTAATTATGATTCAGTTCCCCTTATTATTCTGAACAAAAAGCTAATAGACTAGAATTGTAATGTATTTTCTTGGAATGCACCATACTGTATTTTTTTAAAAATGACAAGTACTTATTTTGTAGGATTGCTAAAGTAATACGAACAATAGAATTCAAATCTTAAATAAATTTCTAGCTTTTTTTCTATGAGAAAAATCCATCTTCAGTATTTTCCTTTTTTTCTCTAGGTGAGACAGTTCAAGCTCAAATATATACTTATTACTTTTTCTAAAAACTACTATTCTTTTAACTTTACTTTCTATTCAATCCAAGTGCACAATTTGACATATTTCTTTATATATAATTTTTCACACAACTTAGCTACATGACATGGTCTGAAAAAAAAGATATAGGTAAAAGTGTGATATTCTATTAAATGTAATAATCCTATTAAGAATGATAATTCTGCCCTGGCTGGTGTAGCTCAGTGGATTGAATGTGAGCTGTGAACCAAAGGGTCACCAGTTCGATTCCCAGTCAGGGCACATGGCTGCATTGCAGGCCAGGTCCCCAGTGGGGGTCACATGAGAGGTGACCACACATTAATGTTTCTCTAACTTTCTTTCTCCTTCTCTTCCCCTCTCTCTAAAAATAAATAAATAAAAATCTTGTAAAAAAAAGAATGATAATTTTATTTTAATAGATCTCTTCCCAGAAAACTATGCTTAGAAAGTCATAACTGTCATTTCTTTTTAAAAAAGATTTTATTTATCTTTAGAGAGAGGGGGAGGAAGGGAGAAAAAAGAGGAAGAGAAACACTGATGTGAGAGAGAAACGTTAATTGGTTGCCTCTCATATGGGCCCCAGCGGGGGACCGAACCCACAACCCAGCCTTGTGCCCTGACCGGGAATTGAACTGGCAATCTTTCACTTTGGGGGATGATGCCCAACCAACTAAGCCACACTGGTCAGGGCATAACTATCATTTCTTTTTAAAAACCAGACAGGAAATGCCTGAACCAAATCCAAATATTACCAGTGATGAGTTTCTTCTAAAGTAAACACTTATTTCTATGAGGAAATAAAATTATTTCCCAAAGAATACTTTCAAAATCCCTTTATGACCGAGCTGCATGCAGGAAAGTAAAGGGACACATTGTACCTGCTCTCAGAAGACACATTCAGCCTTCGAGGTAATCGGGAAAGGAGTTTCTCTGCTCTTCGAAATCGGCAAGTGCAGAGGCAAGGAGGTCTGGTTGCAAAGAGAGAGGCCTGGCTTCTTCGTTCAGGGACAAAGTCCTTGGAAACCTTTCAAGATCAAGGCCTCTTCCCTTAAGATATGCCTGGAGCGTTCTGAAAAACTAAAGAGAGAAAGAAAATGTTCAATCGCCATATATAATTTAAATACCCCAAATACTCAAAGATGAATATTTTCCCCTTAAATTTAGGGCTTATCTAACAGACAGGAAGTGGGAAACTCAGAAAAAGAAATACAATTTTGGCTACTTTCCCCCCTTCCCCTCCCCTGCTCTCCACCCTGCCTTCGTTCTGACATTTCAGCCCCACACAGTATAATTCAGTGTTCTCGGTGCAATTGAGAGAGGAATACCGATTATTTCACAGCACTACTCAGAGATTCGTTGTAAACCATCTCTGAACACCAGTGATAGAGATTAAGTTGAACGACAGTGAACAGAGCTTGGTGCCTCCTCTTTGACTGAAAATAAGACCCCAGTCACCATCTTCTTTAAGTTTTTGTTTGGAATGGACTTTTCAGCTTTCCTTTAGGAAATGAATAAATATATAGCAGCTGTGCAAAGGGCTATAGGATTGTTTTAATCCTATATTGTTGTATTTCACACCAACATATATAAAAGATCACTTACGAATGTAATGTGCTCTATGTGTATGATCATTTCCAAATATAAATTTGTTTCTCCTTACAGCGACAAATGTAAATTGATTAGGGGAACCACAGGATGCCAGCTGCTAGGCGAGCAGAACTCGTCTGGTCCCGCGGGGCATCCTCTCCGCTCGTGGGAGCCATCTCCTCACGGCGCCCTAGCAGATGCGCTGTGCATGGATCCCACGAGGCATCGATTACGCCCACAGCCCAGCGTGTCCCAGTGGAGGGTCTCACCAGATCTCCGTTTCTGGGCTTGTTGAGTGGCTTCCACTGCTCTTTGTTTCTCAATGTGTCTCCATGGATGGACCCGAGTAGCACCAGGGCCACACACAGCAGCAGGAATGCTTTGGGCATGGTGGAATGAAGCTGAGTGAAAGGAAGGATGAGGGCAGTGGCAACAGTCACAGCTGAGAGGGGAGGGAGGGGGAGGAGAGGGGAGGGATGGGGAGGAGAGGGGAGGGAGGGGGAGGGAGGGGGAGGAGAGGGGAGGGAGGGGGGAGGAGAGGGGGGAGGGGAGGAGGGAGGGGGAGGAGAGGGGAGGGAGGGGGAGGAGAGGGGAGGGAGGGGGAGGAGAGGGGAGGGAGGGGGAGGAGAGGGGAGGGAGGGGGGAGGCAACCATAGAATAGAAAAGAGGGAACATTCTTAAAGGGAGGCAAGGAAGCAGAAATAGTATTTTGGTTCACCTGAATTTTGCAGCCTTGTTTTTTTTCCAGATTCATTTGCGCATAAGACCTCCAAAATCCAGTTGACTAGCTTCAAGGAGCCCATGATGATGAGAACATTATACAATTGGCAAAGTAATTATGAATACGACCTGCCAAGGCTGAGTATACCCTCAAAATGCGCTGTGCTGTCTCCAAAGAAAGTAAAATTCTTAAACAAACAAACAACTAAACAAAAAAGCACCCAAAACCAATCTTAAATTACTCAATAAGTGTTAAGACAGCAGTCTTAACAATATTATAATAACTCTGTATGGTGCCAGGTGGGTACTTCAATGATCAGGGGGACCACTTTCTAAATTATATAATTATCTAACTGCTATGCTGTATGCCTGAAGCTAATATAAGGTAATACTAAATATTGAAAAAAGACAGTAGTCTCAGAAAAAGAGGAGAAAAAGAAGCACCACAAAATGAGGAATGCACTGTACACACGTCTGAGACAGACGCACGCCACACAAGCATAAGTAAAGGGCGTCTCCCACCCCAAGGTGGGAAATGGAAACAAAACACATAGAAAGAGCTAATGAAGCTTTACCGGGAGTTTGGCTGGGGCCGGCCCTGCTTGGTCACCCTGCCTGCAGTCCACAGGGGGACGCGTGGCTCCTTATAACCAGTGGATTACCCGCACGCAGGGGGAGTCATCGACGTGAGCAAGGGGAGGTCAAAAATAATGATCCCATTTTCAACCGTAGAACAAATACCCTTCAGAATCATATCTTCAGACTTGTTCAGTGATGAACAATTTGTCATACAAATATAGCAACCACTGACCATCTTATGGGGATTTTATAAAATACACAAGGCACTTCCAAACAGCGAAGTGGCTTTCTTCCTTCTCACTCTTAAGAGAAGGTGTATTATACACGGCAGCTGGGAACATGGGGATGATGACCCCACCTAATAGAAGGCTCTTTTGGAGAGATCAGCTTTTGAAATTAACAGCATTTTTTGGAACAGGAAATTCTATTGCAAGGGACAAAAAATTGCTGCTTATGACCTACACCTTCTGTTTCATCTGAGAACCTCAAGAATCTTGGCAAGTTTTAAATAGTGGCATGATTTTTCATAATACCTTCTCAAAATAGAGCTATATGATTGCATGTATTTCATGGGAAAAAGAAAAATTACCTACAGCATCCTCTTGCTGAATAAATGTAATCATAGAAACACGATAGGGTTGAGAAATTGGACTTGATGAGTTGTGAAGTTGCTTTGGTTCCAATAATTCAGAACGAGCTCTTTGCTGAGAAGGCTAGTAATCTGAGCTGAAAATCAGAATGCCGTCTATAGTTTCAGCCTCTCATCTTGACCTTGGGCAAGAACTATGATCTTCATTTGTTCATTTCTTTGTTTTTTCAAAGAAATTTTTACTGAGTGCCTACCATGAGCCAGGCACTGAACAAGGCTTTGAGGATAAAATAAGAATAATAAATATAGGTATTGCCCTAATGAAACTAGCATGTTAGTGAGCAAGACAGACATTAATCAAATCATTAGGTAATAACATGTATAAATATAAATGGTGATACTTTCTAGGAAGAGAAACTGGGTACAACGAGGGGGCAGAACAGTGAGATGTGGTTCAGTCTCAAGGGTCAGGGGAGGCTTCTGTGAAGTGACCTCACATCTGGCAGTAGAAGTTACCTAGGCAACCTCAGGCAGATGGAGGGAAAAGAGTTTCAGACAACGTGTAGAACTGTGCTAGACCCTACGGATGCAAGGAATGTGGCACATTGAAGCAACTGAAAGTGAGCAGGTCTGCGAGATTCAAGTCAGAGACGGAGAGGTAGTCAGAGTGTGATCTTTCTGCTGCAGGCAGTGGTAAGCAATGGAAAGCTTTTAAGTATCAAAACAGCTTGATCAGACCTGCATTTTAAAAAGAGTATTCTGGTTGCTGTAGGAGGACAGGCTGAGGTAGAGAAGAGGGATGAGGGCATTTCGGTGGCTACTGCTGTGGTCCCATCAGGACAAGATGTTATACTGGATTAGGATGGTAGCGCAGGCGCAGAGATGTGGGCAGATCTGAGAGGTAGATAAAAGGTGTGGGTAACATCCTGGACAATACAGGAAGCAGAGCTAAGAGGAAAAGAGTTTCTGAAACAATCCCCAGGTCTCAGGATTCTGCAGCTGAATGAACTACAGTGCCATTCACTGAGAGATCAAACACTGGTGTGGATGGATGCAGGTCATGAGTTCTGGCCGGGACATGTTGCATTTGAGGAGCCAATTGGATACACAGGGCTGAGGCTCAGAGGGGAGGTCTGGGAAGGAAATATAAATGTGAGAGTTGTTGGCACATAAATGAATGATTTCTTCAGTAAAGATTAGAGAATGAGAAGCAAAGCTGGTTTAGGGCTTGAGCTTGGAAAAGTTTTAACATGTAACAGCCGTATACAAGAACTTGTACAAAAGAGACCCTGGAAGTAGGGGAAGACCAGGAGGGCATAAAAACAAGAGAAGAAAGTGTTCCAAGAAGAGACAGACTGAGTAAAAAGATGATAGAAGAGGGTCCACGGAGTAGTAGAGTGTTGTGGTAGGTGGAGGTGAAGGTCAGACTAGAAGTGAGTGGATGGAGAAGAGAGCGAGCGAGTACGCAAAGCTCCTGAGACTCAGCTGTGAAGAGACAGGAGTGGGAGAGAGAGGACAGGAACTGGGGGGATGGAGTCAAAGGAAGGCGGTTATCACTGGTTTTCTTGTTGTTTGATGGAAATCATTCAGACCAACTGATTTATTTATGTACTTCCTTTTTATTGAGTTTATTAAGGTGACACTGGTTAACAAAATTATACAGCTGTCAGATGCCAGTTTCACATCATCCGTACACTGTACTGTGTGCTTATCACCCCAGTTCAAGTCTCCTTCCATCATCATTTATCTTCCTTCACCCTCCTCCACCCCCTCCCCACCCTGTCCCGGATGATTTTAAAGAATTACTGTTCATTTTCTAAGGTGTGGCGATACTAGTGTGGTGGTAGGCAAATGTGTTTGTCTTAGGAGATGAATGTTGAAGTATTTAGGAATGAAGCCCCTGCAATTTACTTTTTTATGGTGCAAATCGTCTTTTCGTTTTCTTAACACTGTTCTTTGAAGAACAGAAGTTTGTATGTCAGTCCATGTACTTATCACTCAGCTTCACTGTGTATCAACATATGAGCTGTGCGTTACCAAATGTGGAAACTATAAGAGGTGCCACACTGCAAGGGACAGGAGCCCTGCCTGCTGGGCAGACAGTCTATCTGGAGAGCCAGCATAGTGTGGTGGGGACTTCCAGAACTGAACTTCACCATGTTCGAAACCAGGCTCTGCCATTCCCTTGGCCAAATATCATTTAATGTCTCTGCACCTCAAGTTCCTCACCTGTGGCGTTAAACCCACTTTGCGGTGTAAGAGTTAGAAATGATACGCACAAAGGGCCTAGCATGACACCCACCGTGGAGATGGCAATAAGCATCACTGTTATTAAGACCTGCATGTAAAGAGTGCACAACACCGAAGGTGATGACCCCCACAGAGTAGGGAACTGTGACAGTAAGTGCTAGATGTAGGGACAAGATCAGTTATGACTGGCAACTGGTAGATTTCTTTGGAGAAAATTTCAACGACATGTGGGAGGAAGCAGTTCTTGAGCACAGGCAGAGAAGTAGCAAAAGGAAGCAGACATTCAAAGAAGATGCAGAAGCCCAGTGTGGTTGTGTAGCAGAGCGATCATCGCTTCCTTTTATCCCTCTTTGCTGTGGACTGACTTGTGTCCCCTCCCAAATTCATACGCTGAAGCCCCAACTCCCAGTCGGCTGGCACAGTGATCTGGGACTGTGCAGCCTCTAGGTGTGAGAAATGAATCTCTGCTGTTTAGACCACCTATTGGACAGTCTCCTGGCACAGCAGCCCAAGCGGACCAACGCACCGCTCTGCTTAGGTTCTGTTTGGGGGGGCAACACACCCAGCCTTACAACTTTCTGTCCCACTTCCTTGCATTTCTTAGCAGACATGTGATGTTACTCTGGCCAATAGACTGTAGATAGAAGTCCATCAGGGTAGGAAAGGAGGAGAGAGGGAGAATTCTTTCCAAATGAGCAGGCGGCCTTCTCTTATTCCTTCCCCCTCCTCCGTCGCAGAATGGGAATTTTACCAAGCCACCACTGTGTTACGAAAGCCACACATTATGGATGAAGAATGAATGAGATAAGAACCTTGGTGGTTGATGACCTCATGGATTCTCATCCTGGACTTTCCACCTGAAGATTTGATCATTTAGGGAAAGTTTTGTCAGGTTTCTTATTTCATGCAAACAAATCCCAATGGAAACAGCATGTCTCTTTGAAAATGGTAAGAAAGAAGGCAGGAAATGTAGATTGGTCACACAGTCAAAAAGTCTTGTCTATATCCTACAGAACATTGGGTGAGACTTGAAAGTTTTGGAAAAGAGAGTAATACTACTAACTTGCCACTTAAAGATGATTAATAAAAATATAATACGCAGGACGGAAGAGAAGTGGCTGAGACAAGAAGAACATTTCTGAGGTTGCTGTAGAATTTGGAATACTGGTGACAACAGTGGAAACTGGGGGCAGGGCACCGAAGGGAAGGCGCCAATGCAAAAATTACCTTTCAGTGCTAGATTCTTTAGGG